CATAGTGTAAAATGTTCCCTTTATCTGTGAAAAATTGTGGAATTTTATTTAGTCAGTAAAGTGTAGGTGGATGTTTACAGTATTATACTTGCAATGTATACTTTTTACACATCTTAATAATTACAGTAGGCTGTAGAAGACTTGTATCTTATATCTAATAAGTGCAATCATAGCAGTATAGTTTGCTACATGTTTTTGTATTATTGTCTCTTGGGTATTATTGTCTTTACACTTGTTAAAGCACTTTGTAACTTGTTTTTGAAAAGTGCTCTACAAATAAAGATGATGATTATTATTATTATTATTATTATTACATGCATGCTTTAAGATCGTTAAAAAAAATCCAGCTCCACTGAATAATCTCAGCTCCTCTCAGATCATTCCTGTGTGCGAAATCACTTCTAACTATTTTTGTGTTTTAATTATTGGTTGTGCGTGTATCATATTTTATTAATTGTAGATTTTAGTCAGTCAAAAGGATCTTTTAAGAATTGAGTTTATGCTTTGCGTCAACAATCTCATTGTTGTTCATCAAACCTTTTAAAGCTGCTACATGTAGAATTGATGAATGAGACATTTCTGTTGACTTTGGTGACACCTGGAGTCATGTACCGGTAGTGTTTCTGGGCCAGTTCACTAGCTGAGTTTCAGATCAACCACCTACTGCTGATTTTCGCATATCTATATAGTTTGCTGCTGTCCTAGGCAAGTAAGAATTTAATAACTAAATTTTTCAAGTTGGAAAATGGATTATACACTGTGATTCGTCATTAAATTTAATATGACACCTTTTGAGGTAAATATTCTACAGATAGCAGCTTTAAATTGTCATGTGTTTTCATGCCATATGATTCATTTTTCATTTTGTCAACACGTATGTTTGTCTTCTTCTGCAGAACTGATTCATAAATCTTTTTTTCTCTCCCACTGTCCCTCTCATGTTAACCAGGACTATAAAGATATTCTCTTGCTGGACTTTTCTGCTGAAGTTGACAGCAATCAGAATTGCATAAAGGGAAACTCCTTTGTAACTTCCCATGCCCCTGACCATAGATCATCTCCCCAGACAGTGAATCCCTTTTCCTCGACATTTGGCTACTTTCCAACCCCAGACACTGACCCTTTCAGAGATGACCCCCTTTCTAAATCATCCTCTAGCTTGGAACCCAATAAATCACACATCTCCCTCCCCACCACTAATAACCAAAACAACAATGCTGGCAACACCAGTAAGACAATTATTAGCGGTTTGAATGAAGACTCTGAACACCTCAGTCAGCAGATAAATGGATTATCCAGTAAGACAATGATCCTCGCTCTCAGTAATGGACAGTGGCCACTAGGGGGCAAAATAAGTCAGGGCAACACAATAACCATGATGGACGCGAATGAATCTGGACCAGTTCTCTCAACCAAAAACCCATTTATTGACCCCTCTTTGAAACCCACCCCTGTCTCTAATGGCATAATTCAACACCCACAACCCCCAGTGACTCATAGCAAGGATTCAGTAGTCATAAACCCGCCTCCACAGAGCTCTAAGGCTGGACGAGGTCGAAGAAGTGCAAAGGTGAAATTCTATAGCTAGATGAATCATAATAGAGTTGCATGTGTGATGCCTAAAATGGGGTTTATGCACATTTATCAGAGTATAATTAGTTTGCTAACATCTCCCTTTCTGAGCATTTGGGTTATGCACTGGTGCCTGACAGCATATGCCGGAGGATGCATTTGGTTAAGATAGGATGCAAGGCCTATAATTCAGGATTGCAGTTAAGGGTGGTTTGGATCTGTTCTGTCTTCATGCATGCACTGGTGGCTACATGCTTCTATAACTGGCTTGAGTAAATGACTGTGCTGCTAAACAATTAACTGTACCCTTTGTCATCTCTGATCTTAATCTATTTTCTAACATTCATGCTTCAGTGATAAAAGCACTGGTAAGTGGCAAGGCATGCATATTAATTGATGTTCAGGTAAATACTTTAGTATTTATTTCAGACTACATAATTCTAGTAAATAATCTATTGCTGCTGTAGAAGGTTGGTTTAATCTTACTTTCTAAATACAGCATAGTTTATGGGTTATTGGGTACACAGTTATGTTAATGTGGCGCAATAGTATTTCATATTTATGTTTTATTTTCTGTGAATAGTCCACAGCAAGTGATCTGTTTGGAGCAGACCTGTTTGCTGATCCTGGTCATTCTGAAGGGTTATCTGCTTCAAGTGACCTTTTCAACAGTATACCTGCAAACTCCACTCCCTCCTCATTAGCTGCTCTGGGTAATACACAAGAGGGGAACGTTGTGTCTTATTCAAATATTAAGATGTTAATTCTGCTTTACATTTCCCTCACTTTAATCTTTCATATTCATTTTTTTTTATATTCAGGGAATCTTCAGTTAGGTTTTCCAGCTACCACAAGTATCCCTGCTGCAGGCATGTGGGGAGCCTCCACCTCTGCACCCTCCATGTTCCCCATGCCAGGAGTGACAGCTCCAGGCCCTGGACCAACCTTCCCACAGCCATCTCCCTTTGGTGGGCTACCTGTATCACCCGCAGTCTGGGGCCAGCAGGTGCCATCTCAATTTGGTGCCCCACCTTTATCCCCACCCCATGCCTGGGGCCAGCCTCCCCCAGCGGTGCCTCTTGGTGCTCCAGCTTGGGGGCAGCCCGCCATGACCAATCCTTTCCAGCCCAGCCCGTTCCATGCAATGGGTGACCCACAAGGTCCGTCACGCCCTCCTCCTAGGCCACCTGTTAAGGAGGCCCCTCCAAAGGTAGAGAACAGTGCGTTTACAGCTTTGGACCCCCTTGGAGATAAAGAGAAGAAGACTGGAAAGGACATGTTCAAGGACTTCCAGCTTGCCAAACCCCCTGCCATCCCAGCGAGGAAAGGGGAGCTCGGGTCCAACTCTGCTCCAGCCCCAAGCAGCAACGAAGCCAGCTCTTTTGATAAGTACTTTTCCAGTAAAGTGGGCCTGGCTCAGGATACTGCAGATCATGATGACTTTGATATCAATCAGATGTCAACAGTTGTTAAGGGTAAATCAGCTGTAGTAAAGCACTGTGGTGCATGTAGTCAAAATTTTGCAAGTTGACATGTATGACTGTAAGATTTGTCACTAATTGTGTCCTGTAATGTGTTTAGATTTTCCTAAACCAGCTCCTGCCCCAGCTGCAGCCCCAGCTCAAAGCTTTAACCCTGGCCTCCTCGATGCCACCCTCTCTTCTGCTCCCATACCAAACAATCAGGACATGTTCGATAAAGCATTTGGGGCCCCAAATTCCAGTCCATTTGGAGCGCCACCTGTAGTTATGGTACAGAGATTCCCACAGACACATATTTACACCACAACAAGTGTCACAGTAATAATTTATATTTTTTCTCAATCTTACAGCAGACTGCTACTGTTGGTCAGACAACTGCTTTTGGGGAGCCTTTTGGAAATCCCTTTGCTTGACGATTACTTTGTCCATAAGTAAGTATGTTTCCATTTTAAGTTTATTCCTTAACTGAATCCATCTGTACAGGATAAACACTCTTTTCACTTTTTTCCTCTTCTGTATCCCCTCACAGCTGGAATGGAGTGAATGGAGCAAAAATCATCTTTGGGACAAGATGCTACAACATGCGAAAGACAATCCAAATGATGAACTCTTGTCCATGACCCGCCCCTTTTTTTTTTTTTTGTACACCTCTGCCTCTGGTGTTTTTTCCTGTCCAATCAGTAGTTCCTTTATTATTAAAGACCACTGATCTACGAAGTAAATGTTATGTCATGATCTGCTGAAGAAAGAATGTGGTGTGTGAGAAAAGGCATGTCCAAAGAGGTTCACTGCTGATATTGTCTGTGTTAAACAAATAAAAAAATTCAATCATAATAACAAAAGGTGTTGACTAGTCCATTGTTTTCCACAGACTGAGATAACGAATCAACAATTTGCAGCCCACTGGAGGTTCAAGAGTCAAACACATATACTGTATGATTCAAGAAATGCAAAGTTAAGTTATGTCTTCGTGCCCAAACACTGATGGTGTACGTCTTTGTTCTGTAACTACAATGTTTCTATACAGTATGTCTTTTTATTGTGTGTCATACAATTTTGGACACATACAGTGTTAGCTGGTACGAAAGAAGAACATGGGCGAACCGCTGGTGGACATGTACAAGTTGTCATTCAAATCTGCATTAGTTGGCCTTTAAGGATTTCTTCTGAAATCTTTCTGACATCAACAGGAAAAATCACATGGAGCCTCTCTATCTAGTAACTCAAGTGGATGACATTACAACAACCCCCAGTTGGGAAAAAAATTCCAGTAAAACAATATAAAAACAGTTCTTATAGTTATGTAAGTATACAGATTGTGAGAGACAATCCCACAGTGTAAAAACTTATTACTGATAAATTAATGTGCAACCACTTTTAGAGTTTATTGAGATGGAGTTAATTTTATCTACTTTATGTAAGTTGGGTAGTTTAATTAGAGAAATGCATTGTATTTAATAAGGTCATCATTGATATGTACAATTTGAATCTACAAACTAGCTATATGTGTCAAGTTATTTCAAAATTGCAGTACTTTAACAGTACTTGACTGACAGTTATTATATATAACCTAAACAAAAACGTGCGTGAGTATTTCTATTTTCTGCTACTTGATACTTCTATAACCAAAATTAGCTTCACCTAGACCAACTACAACATCAAAACACTGCTTACAAGTATTAATCATCCAATAGAATGATGTTTTAAATAAATGTTCTTGATAATGCTTCTGTATTTCTACTTACCTAAAATTATGAATGCTTTACTTTTGATTGAGTTTTTTAGATTGGTGTATTGTTACCTTTACTTAAAACACCTCAATACTGTTCCCATCACATACCAATATAATGGTCAGAATTCTTGAGAAAAAAAGGCCAGTCTTGCCCATAGACTGTATGATCTTGCCTCATCCAGCTCTTTACGAGGCTCTGACTACATTTCCCACAGCCCCTTTCAATGACGGAAATATTGCGTCACGAAAAACATGGTGGATTAGTGTGTGTGCATGGAGTCCGCTACCTGCCACTCGACGTCAATTAAAGAAAGCTTAATTCTTCCAGCAAACGACATATTCTTGAAGAGGTAAGTTGTTACAAGCAAAATAACACATGTAGACGCATTAAAATTATAAATGTAGCTGCCTCAGCTTTTAAACATCAACAGTAGGACGGTCCAAGTCAGTAAGACTCCATACTAAAAGTGTTGTTGTGCGAGTTTGAGCCCTTTGTGCACTTTTCGGCTTGTTTTTTTTTAACATTATTGTCGCGTTATTTCCATGTCCTTGCATTTGTTCGAACAAGGTGTGGTCCTTCCAATGAGATTTTCTTTACGGCGAGACTTGACGGTTTGTCAGCTGTCAACGTCGCTAGTCAGTTAAACGAATTGCTGAGGTTTGCATGTTGTATGTTACATAAAAAAACCCTTCCTTGCTAACGTTAGTTGTACAGCTATAAGTGCTGGCTTGCTGCGATGCTGCTGTTTAGCTAACGTTAATGGGGTGGGTAACTTTACACTTGCAGAGAGAAAACCGTATATAAAAGAAATGCGTTTTTGTTTAGAGTTTCAGTTTCCAAAGTGACAGAGCAGGCAATACATTATAAGTTGCATCCACTGCCATACATTTGAAATGTAATGCTGTAGTGGTGAGGTGATAAGCAATAATGGGGCAATGCTGCCCAACAGGGTATTGATGATAAAATGAGGAGAAAAGTCTGCAAACACTAAATAATAAACACTAAATTTTATTTAGTTTATTTTCATTTATATAGTAATGTGTTGCATTGGTTCAGTGGTCTGAATGCTTTGTAATGAGCAGTGATATTTGATATGCAGTGTTGGTATTCTAAGGATTCAGCATTCTCTTCAGTGTTTTGCACTTTGCATGTTAAGGACAAGCTAGGGTAAGCAATGTATATCAGGAGTATTTTTGTTAGGCTATTTTTTGAAATTAACAAATTTCAAATCCACTGTGAACCGCATCTGGGGAGAAGATTTTTGTGTTGTTGTAGGTTTGGCAATGGTTGGAATTGAAGAAAAAATATAAAATTATTGATGCAGTAAAATCTGTCTGTTGTTCTATGTAAAGATCACAGTTCTCTACAGCACCTCTGGTTCACGATCTCTGAGTCATTTTCTTTGGTGATGATTTACTTTCAGCTGGATGTCAGGTGTTACTGTTGGAAAATGATGCTTGTTTGACTTCATGTATGTTTTCAGGTCAAAATGTTTCGTCGGTCAAGATTTAGTATTCGACCCAACGTCGGTACGGCAGGGAGAACACCAGCAACAACTCAGGATGCCACTTCAGTAAATCAGGAAGCCAGTGAGAACCCCCAAAGCGTCAGTGAGAGCAGCACTGCTACTGCTGTGACAGATAACAAGTCTGTTGTGACCCCATCAGAAAAACCTACTGCCCCAGGGTGAGAAACAAGCATTAAATGGCTTCTAAAATGTATTTTAGAATGATTCCTACTTTTGTTATGTATAACAAAAATAACTTTTCTTAGGGATGGTAATGACCAAAATGGGGAAGGCACCAGCTCCTCAGCTGCAGTCCAGAGAAGGAAGCGGTTTTCTATCAAGCCCAAAGTGGCTCCAGGCCGCCCCTCCAGCCTTGCTCGGACACCAAAGTCACCGGTCAAGGCAGTCTCTGAAACTCCTGTTGAAGTCCCTTGCTCAGAACTTGACAAGTCAACAACGTCCAGCCAAACTGGGACTACAGCAGCCCCTCAGGGACTCAAGTCCCCAAGGCGACGGAGGCCTTCAGAAGAGAGCAAGCAGCCCACAGAGCAACCTAAACCCACCCTCATCTCATCTGACAATTCGGGACCTTTAGCTGTATCTCCAGCTGAAGACTCGCTAGAACAAATCCACCTGCCAGCAGACAGCGGCAAACAATTAGAAATCACGTCAAATAGTCAAGTTAAAGAAGTTCCCCCCAGACTAAAAGAGAAAGCCCCCCCATCTTTACCAGACAAAGAACATATTGAGATATCAGAGAAAGCCAAGACTCTAGTGTCATCTAAGAGTGGGCTTTCACTGTCACCACCAGCGTTCTCCTTGAGCAGACTCCTGAATGACCCATCAGACTTACAGAGGCTTGCAAAGGCCCAAAAGCTCAGAGAGTTGCTCAGACAGGAGATGCACAAAGAGAAGGTAAAGTCTGTTCACATTCTAGGTATAATGACTTAATAATTTGATATATGATGTTGGATATATCTTGCTGCATTATATTAAGAGTGTTATACTTTGATGTTGCAGAAAATCAAGAAAACAAAGGCACGTGCAAAAGAATTTACTTTAGATCCTGCAAAAATGACCATGAGGGACCTCATCCGTTATCTACCAGTGTCTAACCCCATGACGTAAGAGTCTCCTCTGTAACTTAGTCAAGCATGTGTAACATTTGATCCTTCCCTCCAGAGATGATGTTTTCTCTATTGATAATGCTGGGTCTTATTTGAAAAGAAGTCTTTTTTGTGTGTATTGTCTTTCGTGACTATAATTTGCAAATTCTCCAGATCTAGTTTAGAAGACTCTGCTCAGGAGAATGAGACGGTGGTCCCACCTTCTCCAGGAAGAGAAGTGTAAGTTTACCTCATCATCTTTCCCAATACTTTTCCCTTTTAGTTTTATTGATGTTTGGGAACAAAATGAAACATGCCGTATTAGCTTCATTCTGACTTTGTTTATTTGCATCCATACATCAGTAGTGAAAAGGATGTGATATTTTTATGTCAAGTTGTAATGTTGTTTAAATTGTTGTGTAATGTATTTTCTTCACACAAAAAACAAACTGAAAAAAAGTACTATTAAAACAGATATTTATTGATATTGGTATACAGGTTGAATACATTTCAAGTTGTATAAAGTTACTGCACATCTGATATAGAGAGCTCCATCCATCCATTAGCTATATCTGTTAATCCTTAAGGGCCAGTGCTATCTGATATGGCAGGGGTATAATCTGGAAAAGTCACCAGTCAATCACAGGCTGACAAGTAGAGATGGACAACACACTGGCATTCACACCAGTTTAGAGTTTCAAATTAACCATGGTCCTGCATGTCCTTGGACTGTGGGAGGTAACTGGAGCACCCAGAAGAGACCCACCCAGACATTGTCAAGCCTCATGGCCACTTGGAAATAATCTGCATAATGCACTACACTTTTAACTAAAAGTCAGCCATCATGGAGCTGTAGTTTGCATAATGAGATATAGATGTTACTTGTTTACCAACTCCATTTCTTCTGCCTGATATTTGCAATTGAATCCCTGCAGGTCACCAGAGAGAGCGCAGGAACTTGAAGTCCACCCTAAAATTGCAAGTCCGAGGGAGGAGGAAGAGGAGGAGGCAGAGGAAGAACAGGAAGAAGCTCTCATGGTTCCTCAAGTCAAAGTAGCAGAGGATGGCTCACTGATCATTGACGAAGAGAGGTCAGTGGCCTTCTCTAGGCTATGAAATGCATTCTTTCATGTTCATCAGTTTCCCCTCACTCAGTTATTGAGTTTTTCATTAGCTTGTTAGAAACTGACAATGTCTACAAATGCATCTAGAACATCCTACAGAGATGTGATTTAATATAAACATTGCTACATTATTGTGATATTGGAGATACTGGAACTGATTGTCCGCTTAGTCATATCCTCTCAACCTGTGTCTTAGCCTGACAGTGGAAGTCCAGCGAGCAAAAGGGCCAAACCCAGCACAGGAACGAGACCCTATCTTTGAGCGTGGCTCTACTACAACTTACTCAAGCTTCAGGAAAGGGACCCATTCGAAACCCTGGTCCAGTGAAGGTTAAACGGATGTGGATAATAGATATAGATACCAGAATTATAACATCTCTCTGAGGCCTTGTTCATATAGATTTTTCACATCATGATTGTTTGTTGTTTTCCATCAGAGACAGACATGTTCTTCCTGGCAGTTAGCATGGTGGGAACAGACTTTTCCATGATTTGTCAACTGTTTCCTCACAGAGCACGATCAGAGATAAAGGTCAGTGATCAATACAGCTATACATAGATTTATAGAACATGATATGATGAATCAACACACTGCTTCAGTAAAATCACAATGAAAAGTTTATGATTGTTAATTTAATTGATTTAAACTTTCAGAACAAATTCAAAAAAGAAGAGCGAGAGAATGCCTGGAGGATTGACAAAGCTTTCAGTAAGTATTCTGTTGGACACTATGTTTAGCTGGTTGAATATAACATGAATTGGTTAATGTTCCCATGCAATCCCTCTGTGGATTTTGATGCAACATTTATTGACCATTGTTTTGTAGGAGAGAGGCGCAAACTGGACATAGAGTATTTTTCTAAGCTGCTGGATAAGATTATGGAAGTTCAGAAAAATAGGAAGAAACTCAAGTCACTTGCAGAGAAGAACTCCCCCAAGAAGCACAAGAGAAAGGCAAAGGGTAACTGTCTCTCCATGCGTTTTATCATGTTTTATACTCTGAGTTGACCATTATTATACAATGTTACCATATTATAACAATGTTATTTTTGGGTACAGATTAAAAGACTATTCTCCCTGCATTTTTCAATTCCACAATCATTGTGTGTTCTCATCCCATCTAAAGGCAAAGCTGCAAAGAAGCTGAGTGACGTGGAGGAGGAAAATGAGGAAGTGGAGAATAAAATTCCTGACTTGGAGGAGGAGGGAGAGAAAGAGAATGAGGACCTCTGTAATGAGGGTGGAACACCTGTTTCTAAGCCTAAGAAGAAACGCAAAAGAAATAATAGACAGGAGGCCTTGACTGAGGAACCAAATGACAAGAAAAACAAAACGGGTGAAAAAAGCAATGAACAAGGTAAATGATCATTCAGTTATTTAAAAAAATATGCACATTTTACAAAGCTTTGTAGTTTTAAATAATGTATATATGTGTGCACAGGCATTGTAATGTAGGTCTATGGGCGCTGCCATTTTGCTCCATCTAACTGGTTTAACAAAAAAATTCTAGAAAATGTATGCATATGGTCCTAAAGCAAGCAATATTTAAAATTCTAAATTTAAATTACTTTCTTGTTCCTTTCTTGGCCCTTGTTGATTGTTGCTGGCGGTAATTTTGTTTTCCTTTTATATGATTAGATGACGCCTACACACCCGAAGACGCTGAAGCAGCACTTCCTGAAGACTGTACTAATTTCGACATGTAATGAAACTTTAAAAATGTTGTTTAAAACCATGTATTTTGTGTGCATCTTTAGTTGGCATTAAAATTCTCTTATTTGTCTAATATGCAGATCTGATAAGACTGAGTCTATGAATTCAGCCAAGGACACCGCAATCAAGCCAGCTAAACTCTCACGAGGAAGAGCACCTAAGCCAGTACTGCCTTTGGGCCGGAAGTGGGGTAAAAAGCCTCCACCACCCTCTACAAAGGCCAAAGATACTGCGCCAGATAAAGGGGACGAGAGTGTGAGTGATGAAGCCTCTAAAAAGCAGGTAATTATTTCAGTTTTAGTTTGGAGTCAACAGATCTTTCTACACATTGTTTATTGCCTTACTGAAAGTTATGCTAACCTTATAGGTAGATAATGATACATCACCTTTAAGGCAAGCCACTAAGAGGTCAGCTGATGACATTTCTTCTGAAGAAGAGGATGCCACAGTTCAACCTCCAAGACCTACCAGGTACAGTGTTTCATGTTAACCCATATTTCATGGCTCCCATTGGATCCAGAAACATTCCTATTCCCAATTACCACACAATACTTTGGATATATTAAAATAGATCATGAGATCACCGCTGTGTGATTGTGTTTTGTAGGTATGGGAGAGTGCCCAAACCCACCAAGCCCTTGACTTACCCTGCCAAAGAGAGTGCACACTCCTCTTCGTCTGAAACCACTCCTGCCTCACCAGGAGTTTCTGCTCCCAGGCCTAAACACAAATGCACAGCCAAGAGGGGAAGATTATCAAAGTCACAATCATCCCAAGAGTCCAAAAAGCCCAAACTAGTCACCCTCAGAGCTTCGCAGTCAGAATACAGTGATGAGGAGAATGAAAACCAGTGGGACGAAGAAGAGATGGAGGAGGAGCAGCACCCTGCATGTAGCTCCAGTAAGGACAGCATTGCCCCTGTTTTTGTGCCTGTCAGCCTGCGTTCCCCACATCCTGTAATATCAGAAGTGGAAGAGACTATGGAGGAGGTATGAGAAACAATTTCCCATCATGTTGTGGTGAGACACACCATCCATTATTTTTATTTTTGCTAAATTCTTATAACAAGCATTTTTGTGTTTGCATTCGTTTTTCTTTGTGCATGGTTTTACATTCCATAATTCAAACCCTCCACTGTGGCTCCCCTCATCCCACACATAGCTTGATATCTTGGCCAATATACCTGATGTGTTGGGCATCTCCCAAGATGCACTGTGCCCTGATGCCTCTTTTGAGCTGGCACAAAATGACACTGAACCATGTGAACATCAGTTGGACCTGCTGGTTGTAAGTGCCCTATGTCTAAAATGTAATACCAGTGAAATTAACGCATTATCCCCAGTTACCCTTTATTTTAATATGCAGATGTCTCCCTCTTTTCAGTTTTAGTGCATATATTTGGTTTGCGCATGGATCATTCAGTTATCTTGTGACTTAAAATAATTTAGTTTTAGTTTTTGCACACTTTAAATTAAGAAAATTTAGAATTTGAACAATGATGTATGCAGTCTTGCTATTTGTATTTTTATTAATTAAAATGTATTAATATTTTGTTGACTTGGATGAACTCATAGCAACCTTTTTATGTCCATATGTAATCAACTGACAAAGACATAGAAAGAAAATGACAAAGAAGTGTAACTGGGGCTATGTTTTTTCCATACATTACATCCCTTGACAAGTTTTTGATGTGACTTTCAATACATTGTTTCCCTTGCAGGATGTTATAGACTTTCTTTCTTCAGAACACACAGAAGGTATGTTGTTGCTCCCAGTGGAATACGTGTGTGTGTGTGTGTGTGTGTGTGTGTGTTTTATATTGAAGTATTAATTCTGTGGGGCTCTTTTTGTTTAGCATCTGAGGATGAGAGCTACAATGAGGCTGCTCAAACCCTGTTGACTATCGGCAACCTGGCTCACCTCTCTCAATCAGCACAGAATCAAATAGCCACACAAGATCACATATCCGGTTAGAGACACACAATTCTGTGTATTGGAATTAGATTTCATTTGTTTTAGAACAAATGACAATAAATTAAAAATGTACCTTTATGTTTAATTTTAGGTACAACGTCAGTCAGTGTGAAAGAAACCAGCCAACACCGAGAAGAAGAGATTTTATCAAAGCCTGCTGCACAAGAGGAAAACAGTGCTGTTCCTCATATGGCTGCAACTCCTGGTCATGGAGTCACAGAAACATCCGAAACCATTGCCACTGTGGAGCTACAAAACAGAACAAAAGACGATGGTGAAACTAGTGTCCTCTGGACAGATTCTGATATGGACCCTAAACCTCAACTGCAGTCAAGTCCAGAGAGCTCAAAGAAAAATTCTCCAAAAACCAGGAGAGGACGCGTTTCCAAGGTGAAACCAAAACCTAACCTAGACCAAGCCTCAAAGACTGCTCAGTCAAAATTCCAACCAGAGACATCAACAGTAAGGACAGCTGAAGAGAGCCACACAATTGCCCCTCAACTTTCTCAAGCCACTGAGACAGCTGCCAAAGTATCCCCTAAGATAGCAGATTGTAGTCAACAATTGTTAAAAGATGAAATCAAACTTACAAAAGAACCATCTAGCACCCAATTGGAACCCATTTTGGAACAGGCCACCAGACACTCAAGGTCAACATCTGAGTCCAAGCATGATATACTGATGTCAAATGTTGGGACAACTAAGAGTAGTTATAACCTGGTGACATTTGACCCAGTGGTCACAGAATCGCATATTGGACAAGGGACTAATATAGACTCAGCCCCAGTCCAAGAGAGCAGCGACCATCCTGCTTCATGTGTTACACCTGCGGAAGATTTACCTGTCAGTCAGAAAGAAGAGAGTGAGGAAACACCAACTCGCCAGACCAGGAAGAGTCGATTCCAGAAAGTCAAACCCAAACCCAACCTAACACCGACATCAAGAACCGTACATTCCAAACCTCAAACTACAAAAGACACTTCAGATAAAGACTCCAACCAAACTCTAAACCCCAAATTACATGAAACAACAGTAGCAACAGTAGAGCTTGAAGCAGAACCAACTTGCACCGCCTCTCCTGAAAAACCAAGTCAAAGCACTGGTCCTGCCTCAGATCTCATACCATCATTGGATTTAGGCTCTAATCTTACACCCACAGAGGAACTATGTGCAAGAGATATTGTTCAAGTAGAATCAGATGCAGCAACATCAGATCATAGTGCCTCAGAAAACCGGTACTTTTTTGATTCCAAGTTTGAATCTAGTGTGGAACAGAACAGAGATGCAAGGCCAACATCCACAGATGAAAAAACAATGTCCCATGCTGGTACAACTGAGAGTAGTTGTAGTAATCCACTGACATCCGACTCAGCCACAGGATCACAAGTTGGACAAGACTCAAACATAGAGTCAGCCCTTGTCCAAGAAAGTAGCGACCATCCTGCTCCACGTGTTACACCGATAGAAGGGTTACCTGTCAGTCAGGAAGAAGTGATGGATATCGCACCAACTCGCCAGACCAGGAAGAGTCGATTCCAGAAAGTCAAACCCAAACCCAACCTAGTACGGACATCAAGAACCGTACATTCCAAACCTCAAACTACAAAAGACACTTTAGATAAAGACTCCAACCCAACTCTAAACCCCAAATTACATGAAACAACAGTAGCAACAGTAGAGCTTGAAGCAGAACCAACTTGCACCGCCTCTCCTGAAAAACCAAGTCAAAGCACTGGTCCTGCCTCAGATCTCATACCATCATTGGATTTAGGCTCTAATCTTACACCCACAGAGGAACTATGTGCAAGAGATATTGTTCAAGTAGAATCAGATGCAGCAACATCAGATCATAGTGCCTCAGAAAACCGGAACTTTTTTGATTCCAAGTTTGAATCTAGTGTGGAACAGAACAGAGATGCAAGGCCAACATCCACAGATGAAAAAACAATGTCCCATGCTGGTACAACTGAGAGTAGTTGTAGTAATCCACTGACATCCGACTCAGCCACAGGATCACAAGTTGGACAAGACTCAAACACAGAGTCAGCCCTTGTCCAAGAAAGTAGCGACCATCCTGCTCCACGTGTTACACCGATAGAAGGGTTACCTGTCAGTCAGGAAGAAGTGATGGATATCGCACCAACTCGCCAGACCAGGAAGAGTCGATTCCAGAAAGTCAAACCCAAACCCAACCTAGTACGGACATCAAGAACCGTACATTCCAAACCTCAAACTACAAAAGACACTTTAGATAAAGACTCCAACCCAACTCTAAACCCCAAATTACATGAAAAAGCAACAGTAGAGCTTGAAGCAGAACCAACTTGCACCGCCTCTCCTGAAAAACCAAGTCAAAGCACTGGTCCTGCCTCAGATCTCTTACCATCATTGGATTTAGGCTCTAATCTTACACCCACAGAGGAACTATGTGCAAGAGATATTGTTCAAGTAGAATCAGATGCAGCAACATCAGATCATAGTGCCTCAGAAAACCGGAACTTTTTTGATTCCAAGTTTGAATCTAGTGTGGAACAGAACAGAGATGCAAGGCCAACATCCACAGATGAAAAAACAATGTCCCATGCTGGTACAACTGAGAGTAGTTGTAGTAATCCACTGACATCCGACTCAGCCACAGGATCACAAGTTGGACAAGACTCAAACATAGAGTCAGCCCTTGTCCAAGAAAGTAGTGACCATCCTGCTCCACGTGTTACACCGATAGAAGGGTTACCTGTCAGTCAGGAAGAAGTGATGGATATCGCACCAACTCGCCAGACCAGGAAGAGTCGATTCCAGAAAGTCAAACCCAAACCCAACCTAGTACGGACATCAAGAACCGTACATTCCAAACCTCAAACTACAAAAGACACTTTAGATAAAGACTCCAACCCAACTCTAAACCCCAAATTACATGAAAAAGCAACAGTAGAGCTTGAAGCAGAACCAACTTTCACCGCCTCTCCTGAAAAACCAAGTCAAAGCACTGGTCCTGCCTCAGATCTCTTACCATCATTGGATTTAGGCTCTAATCTTACACCCACAGAGGAACTATGTACACGAGATATTGTTCAAGTAGAATCAGATGCAGCAACATCAGATCAGAGTGTCTTGGAAAACCAGAACTTCTCTTATGCTCAATTTGAATCTAGTGTCAAACAGGACACCAGAAACACAAGGCCAACATCCACAGATGAAAAACCGATGTCCCAAGCTGGTACAACTGAGAGTACTTGTAGTAATCCACTTACATCTTGCTCAGCAACAGGATCACAAGTTGGAAAAGACTCAAACATAGAGTCAGCCCCTGTCCAGGAAAGCAGCGAACATCCTGCTCCATGTGATATACCTGTAGAAGAGGTACTTGTCAGTCAGAAAGAAGGGATGGATACCGCATCTACTTGCCAGACTAGGAGAGGTCGATTACAAAAAGTCAAACCCAAGTTATCACAGATATCAAGAACTGTGTGGTCTAAACCTCAAACTACAAAAGACCCTGTTACATACATGCTTGTAGAGAAACCCTCAAATCCACCTTCCAGACCTGAATCCACTGACAACACAATAACAGAGGGAGAAGCACAGCCAACATGCAGTAGCACCCCTCCTGAAAAACCAGGCCAAATTAAAAGTACTACCACTGATTCAGTTTTGGTACCATTGTTGGAATTAGACTCAACTCACAAATCCACAGAGGAATTTCATTCAACTGAGGCCCAAAAGACAAATGTTAGTAGTGCACTAGACTTAAACTCAGAGGGCTCAGAACAAAATGCACCTCAAAGAAGGCAACGCTTTCCCAAGGTCAAACCCAATTTAGGATCATCCACTAGAACTACCCAAGCAAAACTTCACTTAAATTACACTAGTAAACCCTCAGAACAGTACCATATGGACACATCTTCAAATGTAACCTCAGAACAACTTTCTGTGGACAAGAACGATGCACATACAGAACTGAAACTCGCAGAGAAAAACAGCAAGCACTTGACATCAACACATTGTTCATTACATTCAGAACTTCTCAGCTCAACAAATTTAGGACCCTCAGAGTCACTAGACAGCACAAATGATGAGCGTACTTCCTCTGATTGTATCACTATAGCAACATCCTGGGTTGCTGAGAATCAGTCTATGTTGACAGACTCAGTTCTTGAACATAGGGGTAGTGAAACACCTACATTTGAAGAGGAATCCATAGGGGATACAATGTCAAATAATGACAAGGTGGAGGCTGGACCGGGTTCTCAATGGGACTGCAAACAGGACTTGTCCATTAGAGTTACAGCGACAAATACCCAACTAACAGATGATCCAACTGCAGTTTCAAATGTCCAGTCTTCAGAAGATGGTTCAACTGTGTCAAAAATTAAATCTATACTCCCTACTTACACACAGTCCAAACCAGATGCAAAAGAAAGCACTCAGCAGCCACGTTCAGAGAATGACTCAGAGGTTCAAAGTCAAGATGCAGTCCAACAATGTTCTGAAACCACTAAAACTAATCAAACATCTGCCCAAAGGTAAGTCATGAATCATAACTATGTTTTAAAAATAACTTTATTAACAGCCTCATGTTTTAAAATTAATATTAGTGAGATTAATTAGTTTGTTTTCCACTTAAAGCAGTGATGATAATCAGTCAGAGAAAACCGACTCTTCCAAGTCCTCAAGAAAAGCTCCTCAGACTCGTAGAGGCCGGCTAGTTAAACCCAAACCCAACCTGGCACCCAGCAGCCGACCTCCAAAACCCCAACAAGTCCGGAATACAAAAAAAGCAGGAGCAGGTCTGACATCTTTTTAAAATTAAAGTTCCCTTACTTTACGTAATGGCGAGCAGATATTCAGGATCACTGCCATTCATCACCATGCAGTACCTTTGTCAGTCACTAATTGTTATTTGTTTCCACAGATTCTGGTACTCACTCAGAAGGTGTGGATGCTTCGGTTTCCCACAAATCTGTGTCTGAGCTCCGACCTGACTTTCAACAACCAGTAGAGGGACCTATTGAACAACAAAGTATTCAAAATCCCCACCCAAATGATGCTGGGTCCTCTATTGGCTGTTTGACACAAGCACCTGACAATTCTACTCAGGTAAGATATTAATCAATAAATATTGTGTGATTGCATTGTCTTTTTGTGTTGGAATTTCTGTTAAGCTTGTTTATTGTGTCCATGACCAGATATTTAACAACATGCTAATAACACAGACCAATATTCTTCTATCATGTGTTAGCAAACCTCCAATTTTATATTGTATAGCAGTGATTCCCAACCAGGTGGTACTTGTCAGTGGGTACGTGAAAAGATTGTAAAATAACTCAACTAGTTTAAAAGTAATGAATAAAGAGCTGAAACGTCACACTTAAGCGACTCAAAGTAGTACAAACGCAGGCCTTAAGAAGCTCGTACTACATTTACGAATAAATCCTCAAATGTGTCACTGATTTTCTTTACAATCCCAGGATGCATCAACATCAATTACAGGAGAGACCCAAAGTCTCACAATATTTCCCGACTGTAAGTCAATTATAGATCACTTTCCACTCACTCACCATCAGTTGATTTTATACTGTGAATTATATATAGCACATGTACCAAGATTTTGGTTTCTGAAACCTCTGTCACTCTCAGTGCTGTCGGAGCAGGTGCCTTCAGATCCAGATGAACCGTTTTTCATCCTCTCTCTGACTGAGATCCCAGTCTGCTCATCAGGGGAGGTGGTGGACAGTGTGTGTGAACCCTTCCCTTATCTTCCTGTAACAGATACATCAATACAGCAACAGAGGTTAGTGCCTGCCTTTTATCAGTTGGTCATCCCGATGATGCAGGCGGTGGGTTTGTTTGGTGTCTGATTCTGCAACTTTCTTCACCCCTCTGCAGTGTTCTGGGAGAGAGTTTGGCAGCAGCTGGACATGGGTCTCTCTCTAATGTAGCTGTGCCTGTGTCCATGGAGGAAAGTGGTGAGACAGGCCTCATCAATGTAATAGATTTTGGGCCGGATCCAGCTGCATATAAAGTAAGTGAATTGCAAGGAACCACTTGTTGCTGCAAAAATGTTTACATTTGTTAAATTCTTTCTTGTTTTTTTTTCTTACCCACGCCAGAGTTTGATGGAGAATCCAGTGGATCCACATGGTAGTGATTGCATTATTGTCATTTATTTAATGTTATTAATGATTAATGTTGTGTTAGAAATGGTAACATGGATTGTTTGTGTTTATGGCACAGAGAGGACTACAGTTCAGTCATCCGAATTTCCAGAGACTGTAGAGAATATTGATGAGAGTGAAATTCCCCCTACAACGCAGAGACTAATGGGCACTAGAAGAGGAGGTATGCAGTAGATGAATACTTAGTCATCACATGCATTCTCTGCAAATTGGACACATCTTTTTCATCATGTACCTGTTTCTCTGAATCAGCCAAACTGCAGGTTACGCCCAATACTACAACGAGGATGCGAGCCAGCAAGACCCTCGCTGCAAAGGAGTCAATTCCAGTCCAAGCAAACACCACCCAGGACTCAGAGCTTCCTGGGCCTTCTGTGCAGCCAAAAGCCATTAATGAGCTCATCACTGAGCCACAGAAAAGAAGTTGTGAGCATACAGACATTGAGAAGGAGACTCTAATAGATGGGAAAGACCATGAAAATAGCAGCTCAGGAGCACAAACTGCACAGACTAGGCGAACTAGTAGTAGGAATAGGTGAGGGGAAAAACTCCTGAATAGTTTTCCCAGATTTAATCTTGGTGTCTTATTTATTGTTGTATTGCTGCAAATCCCAAATAATTTTTATTTTCCTGACAGAAAACCCGAAGTCTTACCTGCTTTCCCTTCTGAGACAAAGAAGACTGCCCCTTCGAGCGATTCTCCACCTGGTAAAGCATCTTCCAAGGGCCGTAAGGTCAAAACTCCACGCGCAGCAGGAAAACGATCTACCCAAGCTCCTGTAGCGTCAACATATGATGTCACTCCCACACCCAGTCCAACACTGCCGCAAGAGGAAACCCACTTAATATTGCCTCCCACATCACCAACACAGACAGAAATGGACATCAAACAGACTTCTGAGCACAGTCAACTATGCTCAGATCCAACTTACAGCACTTCTCAATGTACAGCTGAGGTAAGGAGGGTGCAGATGCTACAGAGGTTGGTGGGGGGTCATTTTAATTCAGTGGAATTTTTACACACCCACATGGAATCGATTACAGCTGATCCTGTGTTCTTTGTTGCAGGGTTCCCAGGTAAGTGATGTTGTAGAGAGCAGCTATATAGAAGAGGAGGAGCCCACCAGTGTGTCTCAGTACTTCTTAAGTGACATTTTTACAGAAGTGGAAGAAGGATAAAAGCCATAGAGAGTGAAAGGAGGAACGTGTTGGTGTCTTGCCTTTTATTTTAAATGTTTTTGTTTTGTATGTTTGTAAAGGTTAATTTATAACTAAAATATTGGGGGGGGGGGTTGCAGTCAGTTGTAATGACGTGAAGCTAAATTTACTACACTGACAAATACATTTCATTCAAGCACTTTGAGTGTGTACAGTAGTTTGAATTTACTGAAATGCCTTTTTTTTTAAAGGCCATTGGTTCAAATAAGTATTAAACCATACACATTAATAACTGAAACGCTGTTAAATTGCTAGTTTGACTCAAGCAGGCTTTCCCAATAATTAATTATTCTGTTTCAAGCCTCTGATTCCCTAATTTGGTTAAGTACCTATGAAAATGTAAATATTGTACAATGGCAAACTGTTAATTGATTATTATTTTTTTTTTTTTTTCTTCTCATGTCTGTTAAGTTTTAACACAGACTGTTGTCAAACATTGGTCTCAGGTAGAAAAACATAACCAGATTACTTGACATCATGTACAGTTCTACCTTTAGATTTACTGTACCCTTTTTAATGCCTCTTCTGTGTGTTTTTGTGCTCGTTTTTAAATTATCCCTTCTAATCTGAAACAAATTTTTGTTTGCATTTGACAAAGAAGGATGTCCTAAAAAATGGCCTTTCCTTCTAGAAAACAAGACATCAAACAGAATTTCATTTAGTAAAAACGACATCATTATATTCTGCAATTTCACCCCATACAGAGCAGAGGTAGTTTAGAGTATTTTATTTTCGACAAACTAGCATAGGACATTTTTATATACTGTAAATAGTGTAGATCAGTTGAACGTTAAGAGGTCCTTGTAAAGATATTCAGCATTCAGATTATGTTTGATACTTGAAATAACACATCATGTGTTATGTACCTTAAATGTTTCATTACTTAATTAAAGGTAAAATGTGGAAATATGTAAGATCTGAATAAAATGTATTCTTCCATCATAATATGATTATGTGATTATGATATGATTTTTCATCTATGGTGGTGTTCAAACTCCTTCACTACATTGTGATGACGTTTTTGCCCATTTCACAGCAATTACAGCTTCATGTCTTGGGTAAGTATATAAAGCTTTACCTAGATTTGCAAAGTTTATCTGATTCTTGGCGTATCCTCTCAAGCTTCTTCAGATTGGATGGGAATCGTTTGAACTGCCATTTTCAGCTCTCTCCACAGATGTTATATGGGGCTTAGTCTGGCATTTGGCTGGGCCACTTAAGGACAGTCCCAAAGCCATAACAGCATTGTCTTGGCTGTATGCAGAAATGTAAACCTCTGCCCCATCCTGATGTCATGTGCACACTGGAACAGGTTTTTCTGAATTCATTCCTCAATTCTGACCAGTCTCTGTGTTCCTGCCACTGAGAAGCACACCCATTGCATTATGTTGCCACCACCATGCTTCAGCGTAGGGGTGGTATTAACAAGGTGATGAGTAGTGCCTGGTGGTTTCCAGACGTGGTGCTTGGAGTTCTCCTCAAAGACCAGATAATCTTTTTCCTCATCTTCTCAGAACCTTCAAATACTGGTTTGCAAACTCCATAAGGGCTGTCATATACCTTTTACTCAAGAGTGGCTTCCATGTAGCCACGCTAAGGCCCAATTGATGGTGTGCTGCTGAGATGGTCGTCCTTCTGGTCCTTCTTCTCGCATCTCTGCACTGATGAAGCTCTCTATAGAGGGACTGTTCTCAGTCACCTCCCTCACAAGGCTCTTGTTGCAGATATTCAGTTTGGCCAGACAGCTGATTCTTAAGAGGCGTGAAGGTTCCAAACTTATTTTATTTCAGAATTATTGAGACCAATGTGGAACACTCGTACTGTTAGCAATGGTTTCATACCCTTGCCCTAATCTACTGTATGTATTGTGAGACCTATAGGCTACACAGGTGTGTGCATTTCTAAACCATGTCCAATTAATTGAATTTTGCCGCTAGACAGATCTCAGTGATAATTAAAGCAAACAGGAAGCACGTGCCGCAGCAAAGGGTCTGAATACTTCTGTAAAGGAGAGATTTAAGTTTTTAATACATTTGCAAACATTTCTAAAAACATGTTTTCTGTTGGCATGGGTTATTGAGGGTAGATTGATAATCCATTTAAAATTAAATCTCCAACACAAAGTGTGCAAAAAGTGAAGGGACCTGAATAGTTTCTGAAACCACTTTGTTAGTTAGATTCTTTCTTTTTTATGTTGAGACGTATTTGATGTCTTCAGACGAAACAAAACATTTTAATTATAAAGGTTTATCCTCCTACGTTACACGGGGCTATGTCTTTATCAGACTTACTGTGCAGAAGTTTGGGTGGTTGCACCAAATATTAGTTTGATTTAGATTTTCTGAAACATCACAACCTCACTGCAGTTTAAAATTTTATTTGTTTTATGATTCAATGTCTTGTTAAAATCTGTTTTCACTGTAGGTCTGAATAACAAAAGCACCACACAAGACTTATTCATTTATTTATAATATTCCTAATAAATTAATACATTTTATATTAATAAATTATTATTTATTATATTTTATTATGGAGACAATTAAAGTCAGAGAGAGTCTGAAAGTCTCTCTGTCACAATAAAGAAACCACCTGAGCTATAGGGACAGGTAGAGGTGAGTAAAATAAACGGGATGTGGGTCACTAAATCTGAGAAAATCATTAGTTGGGTGGGAGGCGGGTGGATGACTTATGCCAGTGCAGTCAGCTGCTGGCGTCATATTGTTAGTCTGTATAGCCTACCTATAAACCAGAGCATTCAGCACTGATCTGCTGTAGTTCCCGTTCTCTTATATATAAGTAGTCTGCACGTTATTCGAACAGTATAGTTCTGTGATGACAGTGGAGTGCTTCATTTGAGATACATTTACCCTAATGCATGTGAAGATTAGTGTACCAAAATTTCCCTGTCGCATTTGCATCACATGATCATAACTTGCCAGTCTGTAGGCCTAATTTAATGCAATTTTAGTGAGCCAAAAAATGGGGAGAAAGACCATGATCTTAGGTAGTAGGTCCCTTTGTATTTAGGTAACATCATTAGACTCTTTGTTTGTGTGACTGTAGTGGAAGATTGTGTTCAGGTGTAATTTTGGTATGAATTATCATAAATAAGATCTATTCAAAGAAACAATAAATCTAGACCTCTTTCTGAACCCCGAAGAAACGGATATTGCTTCACGTGACTCTGAAGGAAATGGCGTCTCATTTCTCTAAAAACATTATTTAGTCGTTCCTTCTCTCCCCGCTTGCTTTCGTTGCCCAGGTGGGCGGGACTAAGACGCAGGGAAAACACGCAAGTGGATGAAGAGAATTGAGAAGCACCCTATGAAGTCGATTTTTTTCTGACAGAACATATGTTCCTTGACGAACAGCACGTGACAAACTGCTTTGAATGTTACGTCACCACAGAAGGAAGTTACATTTTGAGGCACAGTAAAAGGACAAAATATTACATCATACAATAATGCAAGTAATGATTCACTGTACCAGTGTGTGACTGACAGTCATAAGCTGCTTGCTGGTAGTAACTCTGTTTAAGGATCCAGTTTGTTTTGTTTATTATAATAAACCCCCTTTACTTACTTTACTTACAAACTAAAATGATTTTGAAGCAATTCATGTGCTATCCATTTTTGTACAGAAATCAAAAAATTAAATAAGTTAATACATTACCCTTTATATTTAAGAGGAGCTGGTTTAGAGCAACTGCCCTCACATTATTGTGCTTCTAAGCCTAAACAAATGTCTGCTTTAAATTAATCTGTGTGTTAAGATACTGTAACTATTCAGTAGATATAATAGGCTACTCTTATGAACCACTGTATATTTAGGCATTCACTGTTGCATGTGCTGGAGCTGACAGAATAAAAGACTATAAGGTTTGAGTAATCCCTCATGCTACAGCTTCTTGTAGTGAGGCTTAAGACTGTTTTGCTCTCTCTGTTGAGCAACTAACTCTGTCTGCACCTCTACTAACACTCTTCAGTCAGCTGTGAGATTAGTCAGTCCACTAACTGCCCTGCCTGCTGAGTACACAGAGACTGGAGCACACCTCTGAGGCCCTACAGACAAGGAACATGAATGATAACATTGAGGTTAGTGAAAGAGTAAATTTATTTATTTATTTATTTGCATTTCTGAAAAATTCCTTACAGGTGCTCATATTGGGGTTCAGAACAGAAAAGGGTGAATGGTAATGTTTTGTCTTTTGTTAACGTAGGTGAAAAATACAACAAGAAAATTATAGGTAACTGTCCTTTTACACGGAAGCAAAAGGTATCGCTGATTGAAAATCTTGAGTGATTTTTAATTTAACATTTAATTTAACAGTTGATCACATCTGAGTTATCATAAGTTGCCTGTGTTCCCTTAATACTATTTGAAAGGTATTGTAATATGGCACAAATTAACCATTTAAAGTTGTTGCTAAACCAGTTCAGTGAACTACAGGTTATGCACTTATTTGGTATCTATTCAGAAAAAAACACAACATTTCAAAACGGCTTAGGCTCAAAAAAACATGACTGAATCATGTAACAACATTCTGATCCCTAAAGCTGAATACGTATGGCTTGCATTGTAAACCTCAAAAGACTACACTCACAATGATGTCCATTGTTAAACAAGTCTAAAAATCTTTAGTCAACACAGTGAAAAAACATTAATGTAAAGGCTGTGTTTATTTTATTAATGATGGGAAAATCAAATGTTGTCATAGAATATGAACAGAAATGTATCATTCAGAGGATCGCCATGTACTCAAGTCTAATAATAGATATGCAATAAAAATCACACATACATGTCTATTTTTACAGTTTTTAGTGTGTAAGAAGACAAAAAAAAATATTTTTCAACATTACAATACATTGTCATGTACACATAATGAAATAATAAATACACAGCAACCTCAACTAGAGACATACTCATATACAAAGCTCATTAAGAAGCATGCCACTAAGTAGATTATGAGTAAAGAATTCCATCAAGGATTTCCATCTACTGCAAGTGGACTTTGGAAAAGTTTTGTTTTTCTACCTATCAAAGAATAACAAAAAAATGTTGTTCCAAACAAAGACAATGGTAAAATGATCAGATGTGGGAAAGTAAATTCAAACAACATAAACCTTGTCATTGCTTTGTGATCTAACCAACTCACCTGAAATCATTTGAGTCTTGGGGCTCTGACAACTGTAGTATATCCAGGGATTAACGTGATGTACTAATTTAACACCGTCACCCCATGAGGCACTTATGTAACAGGTCTGGATCAGTTTGTTTGAAGCCTGTTGCCAGAAGGATCTGCAGAGTAGCACAGTTTGCAAGGATTAGGCTGGGAACCGGAGGGCCGCCGGTTTGAATCCAGCTCGGACCAGAGTTGCAGAGGGTGGACTGGTAGAGGTGCCAGTTCACCTCCTGCTGAAGGACGCCTTGAGTAAGCCCCTGAGCCTCCAACTGCTTGGGGTGCCGCACTGAGTGGCAGCTCCCTCACTCTGACATCTCTCTGTGTGTTGCTATGGGTCCTGTTTGTGCATGTGTGTCTTTTGGACCTCTGTGTAAATAATAACATAATAATTACAGAGTGAAAACTGAAAATTGAGTTTCCCCTTGCGGGATTAATAAAGTATATCTTCTTCTGATAAGAACTGCCACTGCCACCTGAAGTAATATATTTGTATATCATGAACAGCAACTGGAAGATTGAATTACTAATCACATTCCTTCACATGACACATCAAATAACAACACTAAACAGTCTACAGTGTGCTAGCAGCTCCATGAGGCTGTACTTTGGTTAAGTGGTTCTTTGGGCTAAATGGTAACGTCAGCATACTAACATGTCCTCACAGGGAGAATGCTAACATGGAACATGTACCAAATTTCATGGCAATCCATCCAGTACATCCAATAGTTGTCAAGACATTTCGTGTAAATGTCTGGGGGTCAATCTTGTTACTGGGTAAAATGTCTGGAAAGCACATGCAAAGTATTGTGCTAATCCATCTGGATAGATGTTGAGCTGTTTCACTGGATAACTGAAACATCTGACATCTGCTGGTTGTGCTAGATGAAAGGTGAGTAGATCACTAAAGTAATAAGGATTCATCCTCTGGTAACCATGGATATCTGCACCAACCATCCAATAGATGTAGAGATATCTCATTTTGGATTGAAATGGTGGACCAACTGACAGACCAACGTTGCTGCCAGGGTGTCTAATGCACCATTATTACAATGCATTGTACTAATACTTTGACTGTTTGACTTTTTGATTCCTGGAAGTCAGATAATTCTCAGTACCAGCCCCCCAGCACTCTAAGCTATTTGTCTCTCTTTCTTTTTCAGCAAAAGTATATGATGTATGATAAAAAGAAGGTTCTTTTTTCAATGAATCTCGGACAGGACGATGAGGTGCTGAAGCAGATTGAGAGAGAGGTGCGAATGCGGGAAGGGGCCAGTAAGCTACTAGCAGCTTGTTCCAGGAGAGATCAGGCCCTGGAGGCCTCCAAGAGCCTGCTAACCTGTAATGCCCGCATTCTGGCCTTGCTCAGCCAACTACAGAAGATGAGGAAAGCTCAAATCCTTCAGAGAGTGGGACACAGGTTAGATGGAGTGCAAGGATATACTGTATGTATGTGTAAATAGCCAGATAACAGATCTATTGTCTGTGGAGAGGGATATAAATGAATGTTATATAGTTGTAATGCAGAGCAGAAGCAAGTTTGTTGCCATTGTCAGCCACTAGAGGTCAAACAAGCTAACCTTTTCAAATTCAAATTCAAATTAGCTTTATTGGCATGAATGTATAGCAATAATATTGCCAAAGCTACATATAAAGTACATAAGGACAATTCATTTCATACATTTCATTAATGGTGTAATGGTGGACATTGTGAACATTTTGATGAAATACAATATGGTACAGTAGAATACAAATATTATCTTTGTGAAACATTAAATGATTTTTTTGAGAGTGTGTAACAGATGTGTTGATTCAACTCTATGTTATTCTTCTTGAGGCTGTAATTTGTGCTGTTATACCGGATGGCATTAGTGTTCCTGTTATGTTATCCATCCTGTGTGCATTCTTTCTTGTACGGTATGGACTGTACCGTACTGTATGTATGAATAGTTAGACAGATGATCTGTGTCTGTTACTGCAGGCCATCTGAAGATAAAGTGCCATGTTTAGGAAAGATAGCCCTTTCAGGTGAGTGTTAACAAAATATCACAGATTCAAAAAAAATACATGAACCAGGCATTTATGTTCCTAACTTTATAATCTGCAGACCTGCGAATCCCACTGATGTGGAAAGACTCAGAGTACTTCAAAAACAAAGGGGGTGAGTCAGAATGATGTGATCAAGGGAACTGATTGCACCAATGTGAATGTCTCAATTGAGATTATAGGCTATGGATTGAAATAGAAAAACAATTTAAAAATTGCACTGGAACCTTGTTAACCTCACAATATCTAGTTCTTTTGCCAGCTGTCATTATGGTGAAGGTTATAAAAGGGCACTGAAAAGAGAGAAATGATTGCCCAGCCTCTGTCACCTGCCTTGCCTGAGTGTATTTCATCACAGGTAATAAACAAATATATAGAAAGAGCTTTCTTATCAATTGCAGTTTTTACTCTATTCTTTGAACTCGCAGAGCTACATTCCTGTGCTGTGTTCTGCCTGCTTCAGTGTGGCACAGAGATCCATGACACTGGTCTGGTGATGGTAGACAGGACTTTAACTGACATCTGTTTTGAAGACACTATCATATTGTAAGTCACCTGTTTTGAGTTGTTTTTTTAGAGGTAAAATTTGTCATTTTAAACATCATTGGATAAATGTGTCTGTGTGTGTGTAAGCAGCAACGAGGTAGATCCAGGGTTCCAGCTTCGTGTTGAGCTGTACAGCAGTTGTGTGGTTGAGGATTTCTCCCTGAGCGCTCTAGGACCCAGGAGAGTGAGCCGTCTGGGGGGCTCTCTGGGATGCTCTTCAGGGAAAAAGATTCGTGCTGTGTTTGAGTCTGCTGCTGTTTGTGGATCCATTTCCAGTGGAGGAGATGTACCGCCTTTATCTCCTGACCTGTCTGCACTGTGAGGATGACAATTCACTCTGAAACACACACTAAAGGGTAATATTGTATAACCGAGTGTCACCTGGAAAAATGAAGATTGATTTTGCCCAATGCTTTCTGTCTGAAGGGGACCTAAGTATAACCTGCTGGCTCACACAACACTGATTATCGGACACATCCAGGAAGGTTTCAAGACACATGATTTGTCACTAGTAGCAACAGGTGATTTACAAGTCCTCTCCTAATCTTGTCTTCTTCAATTCAAATTCTCAATTTCTCCTCTCGTTGTCTCCTCTCATCTGCTCTCCTCCTGAAAATAAATCCCTAATCTCTTTATTTTTCCAGAGGATTGTCCATTCTGGTTGCCTCTGTATGGCAATATGTGTTGCCGCCTAGTTGCTCAGCCTCTGTGTATGATTCAGCCAGTCATTAGTGGCCAACTCAAAGTTAAGGTGACTAGATTTTCATATATGCTGCCTTGTGATTTAAAAAAATATTGCATCACATAATAATTCACTTTAATAACACTTTACTTCCTGCTCTCATTCAGCTTGGAGAGGACGATAATTACTGGGAAAATGTCTATGGCATCCTCAGGGGGCAACATCTCCTCTGCTATCAGAGTCAAGAAGACCTGGAGTCTGAGGACAAGCCACTACTTGTAATCCCCACAAAAAAGGTTTGTACTAAATGACCAAAGGCTCATGAATAATGAAATGAATTCATTAATGGTTCTGTCCATGTTGATTATGATAACATGCCAAGGCTACCAGAGTGCACTGGTGAATTAATAAAAACTGTCCTTGGAGAGGAACACCCTTGTAATAGTGAGAATCTGAAGATTGGAATCTTTTATGCCCTTTTAACCAGTTTTTTTTAAACTAATTTCCATCACTCTGTTAGACATTTTATCATCTATAATTTAAAAATGTCTGTTAATCCCAAACTACATAGTACACTACTGCATTTGCGAAATGTTTTAGACTTACACCTAAATGCACAAAACAAAAGAATAGTTGTGGCAAGTAAGTACATTTATTAAGAATTGCTGCTGCTTCTGAGGTACTTGAACTTTATTAGAGTATTATAATTTCCATCTACTTTATACCTATATCTTCCATTATCTGACAGCTATAGTCTTCAAAAGCAAAATATAAAATAAAAAACGCAGGACAACCTTATAAAGTCCACACATTATATATTGAGGTTCCCAATCTGTGGCTTGTGTCCCCTTGGTAGACAGTATCTACTTAGTGCCTCCAGTTTTCAAATGTTTTAGATGTTTATGAGGTGGTATCAGTGATTTCCCCCTGGAAAGAATTTTCTAATATTTCACAAAAAAAGCTAAGTCTTGACAAATGGCCCAGGCTTATCTTGTGGGGGCCAAGCCCCTAAATTAAGAACCATTAGATTAAATTACATTATGGCATTTGACGTAGCTAAATTTAAAAATAAGTTAGAAAGTAAAATGGTCTGGATTGTAGTCATGTTCAAAGTCAGCTGATTATATTATATAAGGATGTTTTTTTTCTTAGGTTAAAGCCTTTGAATTATTTTGGCAAGATGCATATGGGTTATTAATATCTCAGTATGTCTACTGTGCATTGTTGCTACATCTTGAAAAACACTCCCTTGGTACTTTGCCATGTGTATTCAAGCAGAAATCCAAAATGATTACCTGAATAATGAGATGAGAAAATGATTATGTGTGTGTTTTCCTGTCAGGATTCCATTGTCTATGTGTCAGAGAAAGATCCTGTCCAGTGCCAGAGTATTTACATCAGTACACAGCATCAAGGAGAGGATGTAATCTACATGCTGTCCACGCACACACCTGAAGATATACAGCGCTGGACTGAGGCCCTCTGGCAGCACATCTATAACATGAGTGAGGCCTGGATGAACTAAATTAATATTTTAACCCCAAGAGCACTTACACAGTCCTGTTGCTGCCACTAGCTACTAGCAAAGCTGCTGAGACTATATTTTAGCAGTGTAGGAAGACAGGTTTGAGTGACACATTGTGAGGGTGTTTTGTTTGCCCTATGTTTCTTTCAATTAACTGATGTGTGCCATGGCCATGAAGGAGTGATTACTATTATTGTTACCATAAATTATACAGTAATTTGGCCAATCCTAATCTGAGTTGCACTGATGGGATGCACACACCCAACACTTTTTAAATGCTAGAAAGCAATCTGAGAGTTAATGCTTCTGCGAAGGTTGCATAAACATCTAAATGCAAAACACACATGCAAGGTACAGTACAGTCATTTATGAGATCACGGAAACCCGCCTTGATCTACATCTGCACACAGAACAACTTGTTCTCTTCTTGGTTTATGGCCTGATTTTCTACCAAGTTTCTCAAATCTGTAAAAACGTTTTTCAAGCTATGTGGCAGAGGAACAAACAAACAGAAAGAAGAAAAACAAACAGCTAAAAAAACACAAGCTCCAGTCCTATGCCAGACCGGTCCAGAAGCAGTGATTTCCTGGAGACTTGTCATCTCCTTGTCTTGCCAGACAACCAGCAGAGATTCCTCACCTTTCATGAGATAAAATGTGTTGTGGATTAACAGACTACCTTAACACTCTCTGTGATGACTTTTTCATAGCAAAACACTAGCTTTTAAATGTTAATGGAGATCTATACTGTTCAGAGTTGCCTATTCTGAAGAAATGACAACAATCTTATCTTATATTCCACATACACTGATACATTGATCCACTGTGATCTTCAAGCATCGGGAGTATTTTTATTGTTTCCTCATCAAACGTGCAGACATTCTTACCTTGTGCCAAGTTTTTACAAGAGGCTTTAACTTTCCAATGTCAACTGGAGCAGTTGCATACTGTACATCTTAACTATATTTGTCTTAGTCTTGAATCTTACACACACACTTTGACAGTACCAAACTGCAAGTAATACTGTTACATGAAAGTAACAAAATGCACCATCTCCATTTTTCTTTTAAATGGCCGGCTGTTTTTGCAACTCAACTCAAAATTTAGCCAAGTTTGGAGTGGTTTGAGGCAATGATTATCAGGCTTTGTTTCTATTTTAAAAGGAGACAAAATATACCTGCTGATACCTGCAAGACGGCATTCTTTAATGACATGTTTGTGACATCAGTGAGACCAGATCAGTGAGTAGTCTGTGCCAAAGAAAATGTTTGTCTTGTGTCTGAATGAGACTGAGGTTTATCTATCTATCTATCTATCTATCTATCTATCTATCTATCTATCTATCTATCTATCTATCTATCTATCTATCTATCTATCTATCTATCTATCTATCTATCTATCTATCTATCTATCTATCTATCTATCTATCTATCTGTTCTATATATAGTACACTAGGAAGGAGTCAAAGAAAGGAAAGAAAGTCCCATCTTTGATTATGGTGACACCCAAAAATTATCTTGATGTTCCAGCCAGGACTAGTTTTGTACAGCTTTGTATTACGACAATGAGACATTCCAGAGTCTTCTGTTTTTGTGTATTATAACGATGCAGAAAGTAACAGGGCCACTTCGAGTCATGCAGCCAATGATTTGGTAGTTTTCTCATGTACATTAAATACCACAGCACCATAGCACCATCATTAGACAATGTGTAGTTTCATTCCAGTTTTACTTTTTCTACTAACATGATTCAACTTACACTAAATTTTGCAGAGCAGCAAGTTAAATATTTTGCCAAATAACTTCTAGCATAATTTCTTGATCTGCATGTAATTCATATAATCACTCGCTGGCTTCCCACACATGAACACTACCAGTTGTTGGAACTCCGTCTTTACAACCTGTATGAATAAACTGGTTCCTCAGGGATTTGGCAGGCATACTTAAGAGAAGTCTTGAACCTGCAATGGCTGCAGTGGTGTTCCCATGTGGGGTATAGAGGCAAAGTTCTATCGCTTTGCATGTCCTCCTTTCAGGAACTTGCAAAGGTCCTGCAGATAATATTAAGATTTGTTTAAAATTAATTTCAGTTTAGTTAAACAAGCAAATATAATTGACCATGTCAACTGTGTTAATCCAAAAGACAGGTATGTAATTAGTTTTTATTGCACACACACCTTTGTCTAAAACGGGGTTTTGGCAGTCAGAGTAATTACACAAACACTTTCGATACAAGCTTATTTGATATGCCTACAGGTGAGCCCGCCCCAGGCTTGTGTTGTTTCCTGGGCAGTCTCTATGTGTGTGTGTGTGTGTGCGTGTGTGTGTGTGTGTGTGTGTGTGATCATGGAAAAATGGGGTACTGGAGACACCTACTGTAGCGTGAACTACCACAGAAGCAGATTTGAGTACTTTACATATCTGTCTGCGGACAGATTTTATTAGCTCAATAGCATCACAACCATGCAAGATACAGTGAAATCAAAATAAAAGTGTGATGATGTATGTGAACGCTGGAAGTAGTGGAGTAAAAAATTGGAATTAGCTTTGGCAAGACAGCAAAAATTATTTGTTTTTGGACATTCAGTATTCATGTTGTTGGACATTCATTAATTTTCTTGCCAAACAATTGTGCCAATAATGACATATTCTAAATTCACAACTAACTATGTTTAATGTTGTGGATTCCCTGGATAAAACCAGGGAATCTTTCTGCGAACACACACACACACACACACACACACACACACACACACACACACAATGAAAGGTATTGTTCCAACATGTAGATCTTTCTACCATGTGGTACAGCATAGTTTTCAGTCATGTGACATGCGTAGTGATCTGGAGGGCAAAAGAACAGACCAACATAGCAGCTCACACCGCAACTCCCCCGTAGAGACGCCACAAAAGCAGTCAAATTTACCTTTCAACTTAAGAAAAAGAAAGATATGAACACAAACTGTAAGTGTAGGACATATCTGATCCATATAACATTATAGCATCGGCTGCCACATTTCTACCGTTAAAGACCGCCAGGTCCCTGCCACCGCTCAACTGCAGTAATGTTTACCTTGTAGGGAATCCCTAACCTAACACAGCCCAGGCTTGTCTCCTCCTTGATTAGTGCATCCGAAAGCACAACTACCATCCAGCATTTTGGCAACGCAATAGTAACAAACTCAAAATAATAGTGTTTCGCAAGTGAAACACTGTTTTTTTGAGTTTGTTATTCCAGTTGGGCAGGCAACGGAAAATAACGGCTGTGTTCAAAACGGGCTAAACTGCTGTTTCAGAAGGTGTCTAACAGGACAGCAAGGCATCGAGTGCTGTTTGAAACGGCTTGAACGATCTCTTCCTGATGCATAAGATGCCTTCAAACTGCCCCAGTAACGGCCAGCTTTGAAGGCAGCATCGATGTTGACTCAATGCTGTCTATTACCCATAAAACAGTGCGGCTGTGGCTGTGGCTGCGGCTGTGGCTGCGGCCACCGTAGATTTTGAAAACTGGTCAAGATGACGACAAACAATAAAGAATATTAGCCCCCGACTATAACCAACCAAGTTTGTCCAGAATGATTTCTGAGGCATCTGTTAGCCATTTGGCTTTTCAGTAGCTAATGAGCTGATGCTAAGGCTAGCGTCTCTCTTCTGACAAACAGAAGAGACGCAAGACGGCGTGCTGACGTCACGCCTTGCCGTAAGTGCTGACCTAGAAGGCTGTTAGAAACCAGTGTTAACAGAGATGCCTTTCACTTGAAAGTGATGTCTTCTGAGGCAGCTGTCTATCACGGTATTAAGGCAGCGAGGCAACTGCTTTCTGTTTCGAACACAGCCAACGTCTGTTTTGCCCTCCAAGGGAGTGTTTTCTTTGGAATGTAACGTCACGTGAAAACTATGAATACTGTATTGTCACAGATTCTCTGGGTGACAAAATGTTTTGAGATACTGCCAGCAAACGCAATTATTTGTTTTTGCCGCTTATTTGCAGAGAGACAGAAGCTGACTAGAAATTAATAAAATATTTTCTATTCATGTGGTTTGAAAATCCCTGCTTAAACTATTTGTTACAGGCCAGTGGAAGCAGTGTTGTGATCACGTCATGAAGATTGTAATCCCGAACACCAGGAAACCCATTACAGTGAAGCAGGGATCACTCTACCATGAAATAGGTAGTGTATCACAAGCCTCAGCCTTTAAGGGCCATATTAGTGGTTTTGTTGGTTTACTTCCAGTTATTTACTTTACATCACAGTTCGTCATTTTATGTTAATTGTATTTGTGTTGTAATTGTAATGTATTTTCTTCTGAGTGTATTAAAATCTATTAGCAGATCCTTAAATCCTGCTAGAGTTGTGTAATCCATCACAGCAAGAAAGCCAACGTGGAAGTGCCTTAAACCGGCATTCTTTCTTATGGGGGCAGCTCCACTGGTTCCAAAAAGAAGTTGGATTGCATTGGACTTAATGGCAAAATGAGCCAACTTCTCATTTGATTTGTTACTTCAGTAAACACTTTCCTAATGAGTTTATGGTCTCACTTTCTAGTTTTAAGCCTTCTTCAATACAGCAAGATGTTCATTTATTAAATTATGGTCCCATTTAGAGAAAAATAGACAAGAATGCAGAGTATGCTTTCGGTCTTGTGATTAACAAGTCACGACCTGTCAATCAGGCTAGAGGCGACGCATATCGACTGCACTGTGTAAATTTGACAAGCGCTTTTGAAAAAGCTTTTTTGTAGTAGGCTATTCATTTTCACGTTAAGTAAATTTTGCCTGTTTTTCACTAGCCAGAATTAGCATCCCAGTTAATATCACACTTAACGTGAATTATCGATGCACCTTGCTAATGAGGCTAGCTAGTTCCACCCTCTCGTCCAAATATGGTCACGTCCAGACATGTCTGGTTCAAAAAACCCAAGATGGCGAAGGCCAAAATGCCAAACTTAAGGCTTCAAAATGGTAGTCATGGTTCAAATGTTCACTTCTTTAACCACAGCAATTTATGTGAAATACGCTAGCTCCTTAAGCCTGAAAGAAAATGACCCCTTTTTTAGTTGTTATGTGATCCATTGTATAAACAGAATGACTATAACAGCTTTTTTCAACTTCTTCACTGTTATTGACTACACAATTCAAGCAAGTTTCACAAGTCTGTAAATTGATTTCCATTTCATGTGGAAAATAAATGAAACTAGGTGCTGCTTTAAACAGTAGGAAAAAATATATGCAAACTTCTGAAACTGTATAGCATGCAAAAGATGTACAGTACAAATTTGTAGTTAGAACTAATACCTGAAAACATATATATCCATGGCTGAATCATCCTCTTTTTATCATCCACAACATCTGTCCCTCCATGTCAAGAATTCTGACACTATGATGAGACGTGAAATGTTATGCCTCATTTGCACATGTTTTGGCTTCATCTGCAACGTGCCGAGTGACGCCTGGCCTAAAAGTAGACAAACAGGTTTGAGTAAATAGCAGGATCTAAAAGAGATAAATAATGCTGCCGACTATGACATAGGACAACAAGCCAGACACTGTCTACGTGAATAGGTGTATTATCTTCAACACCTGCTGACAAAAACATCAGTCATGCTGATCACAAAATATACAGCAAACCTTAATACATATTGTGAGAAAAAATCTCTCAGAAGTAAGAGAGAACAATATAATGCAGTAAAGTAAAGAAGAATGTCTCTCTGAATGCCCTGTTATCAACTACTTATCAACTTACGGGAAATGTTTCTAGTCAGAAAGGAAGATATGTGATCTAGAGTTTCAGATTTTTAAAACATCTGAAAATGTCTATTTTTCTTGCTCTGTTTTTCAGTAACACCAATCTCCCCCAGAGAGGGTCTTGTGGTTCCAGATTTATCTGTTGAGATCCACACTTTGCTCTCTTCCTATTACAAGGAAAGGTAGGCTTTCTTCAATAACCTCCACCATTCACATTTTCACCTCTGCATGAATTTGCCAATACAATTTACTTCCTCCCGGTGTATACCAAAATCCTCTCCTAATGCTCACAATAACACACATAATCACGTTTGTTTTAAGAGTCAACAAGGCTTGCATTGTAACTAGAGGAAGTGCAAAGGATGAACAGAACACGCTAATGACTCAGAAGCATGAAAATTAACACTGACAAACAAAAATGTCTGTCTGAATTTGACCCAATTGAAATTGAATGAAAATTCCTGCCTACACAATTTAGATAAGCATGCATTTTTTTCTATCAATATTTCAATAGGCATAATGTCAACAAAGGAAAAAGGTATGTGACACATGCATTCTAAGTAATATCTGTTTATTGAGATTTCATATCTTGTAAATCTTTGCGCATTGCATTGTCTGTTTTACATTGGTAGTTCTGTTAAGTGCTCAGTGAAATCATATCACAATCACTGTGGAATTTGTGTGGGAGGTTTATATTTTTTCATAATGTACGAGTGCTGAGATTCAGGCTTTATTAACAAGTTTTAATTACATATTAGAGTCAATTTTTTTGTTTTGTCGGTTTATTGATTATCATGGAAAAAGCAATAACAAACAGAGGTTATAAACTGTCTCATGCATCAATTAAGGTCAGCAGTGTATCTTAGCAGGTGGCGTCACGGCTAAGCAAGATAAATACCTCTTTAACTCAAACACATAATGGTCCTCTTAGACACTGTGGGCTGTGTTGTCAGACAGTGTGTGTTTTCCAGATAATTTGACTTCTTTGAATGGCAAACAATCAAAGTTACAAGTTTAACTCCGCACATAATGCACCTGGGTGTCAAATACTACAGATATTGTTCAGTAGTGTCAAGGTTTGTGTACAGAGAAAGGGCATAGATTGGTCAAAAGACATCCTGGAGAACAGGTTTTACTGGAGATGCTGATAGATGATATATGTGAAGTAACAAGCTAAGATGATGACTGGGTCCTGCTTTTATGCTTTTACAATGCTGCCCTTGTGAAACTTTGAATGATTTGTATGAATGTTTTCCCCCAGTATTCTAGGAGTGAGTCAGACCTCTCTCAGTATTGTATGCATAACCACGTTGTAAGGAGCCAAAGGTTAAACACCAGTAGATGTTCATTAGATGCCTAGCTGTGATTTTACATGTCTGTAAAGGAAGGCAACTGAGCGAGTCAGTGCTGTCTAACTGTCACTAATTTGTATAGACTCAATCTTGTTTGTTGAATCTAATAAAAATAATGTGCCACCCAGGGATACATTTATATTTAAGGCTTGACATGTACTCTGCAGAAATAATAAAAATAGCAAAGACATTTTAAAATTCATTATTAAGTTTTTCAACGTACAAGCAGCCTTATCATGCCACTTTCATTTAAAACACTGTAGTAAAACATTGTAGTAGAAAACTGTCTTGTAATCAGGACACTGCATTGCTGTATAGAATTTTTAGTACTGGGACATGCATTCAAAAACAAATGTAAAAAGATAAATAGTAAAATGTCCTTCTGCCCTGAGGCAAATGCAGGCATTCATTATGTACTCATAACCTTGTCATTATGATTTGGCAAAGTTTTTGTGTGTGTGCTGGGAAGAATATGAAACATCCTCATACCAACCTATGCCCACATATGAAATTGGCAAAGTCACAGCTCGAGGTTTTACCAGATATGTGCATGATTATTTTCAACTGTTAAGAAGGTAGATCGTTTGTTCAGACAGGGATATTAATTGTAGTGTGTGTTTCACACATAAATTCCATTTCGATATACCTGTCTAGCAGGTCATTTCACACAGAGCATTAGTTCCCTAAACAGAAATAGGTGGGAACTGACAAAGTAAAGTTTTTGTTGATGCTATGGAGCACCACCATCTTTTTAAACATTGTTCTACAAATTTATTTGTTTCTCTCTCTTTTTTAGTTATTGACGGCCTTGCCACAGTTGCACTAGAGGGTTATGGACCTGTCCTAATTCTATCCATTTGTGGTTACCACGCCTGATCAAGAAAACGGACATGGACATGATAAATGGTGCTATTTTAAACTCCACAGAGGAAACATCCAAATTAGTCTTAATATCATATAAATTTACCAAGCCAGCATTATTTGTAAAAAACAAACAGACTGTCTGGCTATTTTAAATGTATTTTAATGTACATTATATTTTATTTTACATTATCTAGCAGTATTGTATTATATTTTGTGCATTTAAATAGAGACTAGTGCATCTACCAAGTGGCCTCAAATAAGTGTTCTGTTGACCCATAGGCAGTTCCAGTATACTGATGATGAATTTTCACCTGCACTAGTCCAGTATTTGGAAGATATAACCTCCTGGGATTTACCTGACACACCCGTAGCTACTTCCCTTCAATCTGTGTGAGATGAAGCAACTGAAAGTCAATCCTCAACCAAGGTGCTCAGGTTGTGTGAATCTTCTGAATATTTAGTTAACTAAGATAACAGTGAAACACCAGTACACAGCTCAAGTTCAGATTTAGTCCAGTAGCAAGCAAGCTTGGGGTAAGTTATCAGTGGCCCTCTGTATAGACTGATGGCATAAAGCAAATAAATAAAATCATTTCCAAAAATAGAGAAAGGGTTAAGGATATATTTAACACTGTTAAAATACACTGTGTAGTTGTTTATATGTTTAAAATGACTGATAATTCCATAAACACATATGGAACAGTGCGGCTAAAATTTTACTCTGTTTGAGTAATACGCTCAAATTAAATATATATATATATATATATATATATATATATTTATAAATTATAAATTATAAATATATGTAACTTAGAACTTAGAACTTAGAAAAATTGTAATTTACATATATATACATTTTGACCTTGTACTGAGCCAACAATTGAGGTTTTACTGTGTCTAATGATATTAAAGAATTGTTGCAACCTGATGCCTACACTGAGCCCAGTACTGTGAATCACTCTCAGTGACCTGTGGAACTATAATGCTTTTGGGATAGTGTAGTGGATTTTTTGTTTTTGATAACCAAATAGCACTGGGAATTTGAAAAGTTCACTACACAGACAAACACTTCTGAGTTAATCAATAACCTGCTGAGAAACAACAGTAAAACACTTGCCTAAACATGTTCATACTGAATCACAATCTCCACTATCATTTTTCCCCTAGCTTTCTGAAACCTCAGTGACGCATTTCATGCGATAAAGAACAAGTGATAAAGAACAAGTGAACAAAACAAAGCCAAGAAAAAAAAATGAGCTTGTGAGCGGATGGCTTATTCAACATGGCTCCCTCTGTTATTCATATGAAAAAAATATTCAGGACAATGAACCATACTAGTTATTACAGGACTTTTGTGACATTAATGAGCAACACAAATTGCATGCAGTAACTATGTCTGTGTCTAAAATTACACTGATGGGAGTGTCAGATCTATTTCAATGTCAGTATCACATCTGTAATTCCACAAACAGTGCATTGACTCTGAGAATGATAATTACAGCAATAATAATAACAAAATAGGCGCCGCTCCGGTTATTAATGAATCACTGTAGTGTTTCCTGCAGCATTACTATGGTTTTTCGGGCACTATAGAAAATTACTATAGTAATACTATAGAGTTGGCTATGGTGATCTTATAGTGAAGTTATTATACCATAATGTTTATATAGTATTGCTATAGTGTTTTCTGTAGTACACCCCACACTAAAAGTAGTATACTAACATATTATAATAGCAATATATTAGAGCAGTAGGTTCTGCGTAGTGGAGGAGCAGTGATGCTGAAGGTTAGGAGGGCTGAGTGGACACTGGTGAGAAAAAAACACCAACACATAAATGCCTATATAATATACTATTTATAAGGAATGTTACTATTATTTTCTTTCCCTTCTTTCTTCACTCTCACATTCCCTCCTCTTAGTCTCTATATCCCGTCTTTCCTCAATCTTTGAAACTGATGCAAATAGAAGACATGGCACTGTTAAATTTATATTTATTCAAAATGATGTTTTACCACTTCAAAATAATAAATAATACTGTTGAAGAGTTAATACTTATCATACCTGTCTTACTTTTAAAAGTATAGCTCTGATCAGCAGCTAGGACTTTAATACATCATAGTGGCTGAATGCATCATATTGGTGAACACAACAATTCATATCACATCATCATCAAAGTTCCTGTGTGTGAGAACTGTTTTAAAAAAATAAAAACAGGTTAAGGATAAGTACACAGGTTAAGTTATTTTCACAGTTAGCCACACCCAAACAATTCATGATTTCAAAATACAGATCACACAGTTTATTTGAGTTATTATATACATTTATTTGCTTTAGCCTTACACTGTTTACATGGAGTGCACACATTTTCACATTGTAGGGTTAAGTAAACATTTTCTGTTTATTAATCATGTTTATTGTGTTACCATGTTGGAGAGAGGTCTATCCTGGTGGAAGAAAGGTGCAGCCAAGGGTGGAAGACAGTTAAATCCTGTGACCTACCAATCAAGCCGTACCATGTGCTGCCATGTTGGAAGGGGATTTTGGGTTTAGTTTGTTTTACTTTGTAGTTGTCCATTTTGTTTTCCCCTTGTGTGTGAATTGGTTTGGCCAAGCCACTATATCTGTTCCCTTGTGTCTCATTCAGTTAGATCAGTTTGTTCAGTTCATATCCTGTTTTGTTATATTTTGTTTTGAGTATAGTTATATTTTGTTGACCTTTTTTATAGGCCTAGTTGTAAGGTTTTGGTTTCTATTGTTTAGTATTTTTGGGTAAATAAAAAAAACTATTTTTCAACACAAACTCCTGTTCTCCTCATTCCCTGACTGTTTGGTCCCTGACAGTTTTTCTAACCCTTTCTCTTACCTGTTCTCCCTCTCTCAGCACAAGAATCAGAATCAGAGGGGGGGATTCAGTGGAGCCTGAAGATTATCTGCAATTGACCTGAGCCAACCATTTTTTTCTCCTCTCCATGTCAGCTGGGAAACCATACATTTGTACTCCTTTTTCTGAACGACTGCAGCAGCATCCCCACACAGCACAATAAACCATGCTGTAGACTATTGTAAGACAGTACACAGGCACGAACCACTTAACATGCTATTTTCTGGGTTTATTGGAGATTTATTAAATTAATAACCTACATGACAATCATTGATAGTCACCTTCCTTTTCTATCGGAAGTAATAAAGATCCCATTAGTCATTAAGATTAATTAACTCCAAGGGATTACTAAAAGGAACGTTAAAAAGTTAAATCTGATCTGAATTTTGAAACATTGTGTTTTCAATGTAAGGTTAGCCAAAAATGCCAACAAAGTAGGTGATTGTAGCCATTACTATCAAACATATATGTCCTTCTAACTACATACATACATACAGTGTGCTGTACAAATATTTTAATCAAGGCATTTATTGTATAAATTACCAAAAGTCGCTCGTTCATTTTCAATTGCCCGCCTAGGACTATCTGTGGTCTCCATGAGCCAAGTGACAATCAAGCATTTTGGACCCTCGCTGACGTGATTCTCTGTCTAAGGGCTCTGCTTAGCAGCATGTAAGTGATGTCATATCACGCTCTGTCAGTTTAAGAGGGTAACCTCTGACCCTGAGCTGTGAGTGACTGTGACGTGTATGTTAAGAGAGGCCTCCGATTCGTTTATGTAGATGCCTATCACGTTTCTTTTGTGATTGGTTAAGGGGTGGGCCTAACAGGCAGAGCAGATCGGAGTTATGGGTCAGCCTGCTGCTTAATTGTAAAGTGTAATTTAATTAATATACATACAGTCAGTATCCTGGCTAGTTTATAATAAGTTTGTGAGAGCTGTACTATTAGATAGCAACAGGTTAGCACCATCGCTATCAGCAAGCTAACGTCAAACACTATCCCACTGACAGCGCCATGTGTGACCTGATAAACACCTTTGGCTTCGAGGGAGACCATCCTGTGCCTGTTTTAATCATCTTTCTGAAAGGAGTGCAAAACATGACAACAGAGGGAGTCACCTGGACAATGCAATGAAACTGGGCTTAACATTACTTTGAAGAGTAAACATCACTGCCTGACAGGCGCTCAATTGAGCAGCATAACAAACAGGTGGAGGAAAACAGCTACAAACTCAGTTGGATCATAACATTTATTAAACTCCGTGGGAAAACGTTAAACCACACTGCGGGAAAGTGCGGTTTCAAGACCGCCTTGCCGCATTTATCCTCAAGTGAGCCCTCAGCTGTGGTGAGTGAAAGCATCTTTTATCATCCTGACTCTGTACTACTTCTGCATGTAGCCAGGAATGTTCTTTCCATTTTGATTTCAGGATCTCTGTGGAAAGCGGCTATAGAAAGGGTCTGGATCCCTAAAACGTCTATGCGTTGTTGACTTCAGTGGTGCTGAGCTTACTGCTCTTTGCTTATGAGGGCTCATTTGTTCTGAGCTTAGTTATGTCGGCTTAAATATTGCATTCTTAATTTAGGTTTGTGACAGTGTTACTGTAACTTGTGTCAATGCACTCCTCTCTCTCGCTCTCTCTCATTTAGTGTTTTGTAGAACCATGCTGTTTGTTGACATTAAAAACACAGTAGCAAGAGATTATTGTAGTTTCACTGGCATCTATGTTTTGAAAAGCATTTTTATGAAATAGTATGACTAATAAATAATTACACAAGTCTGTACAGACACATATATATTCCAATTAAATTATTATATAGTCTAATATGAGAGAAAAATATTTATGCTCCATGATATCTGTAATCTTGAGTAGGCTTATTCCCAGTGCATTCAGTGCACTCTTACAAATAAAAACTGTAGTTGTTTTTTTAAGAAAAAGGTCAACTTGTGTATTTGAAATGCATACAGATACATAACACATTAAAACAGGATTTTTATGGAACTCAAAATGGTAACGGAACTGGTTTTAGTCCATGGACATTAGACAATTAGTAACATTAACTGTAAAATAAGAAACCAAAGTATATCAGTCTGTGACTCTATAACTCAAATTTTAACTATTTTAACTACTATAACTATAAAATTTCAACTAATCTATATACCGCATAATAGAATTCCTGAAATTCAGTTATGGCTTTAGGTTTTAGTGTGCCACCCCAGGTTTTTCAGTGGCCCCATCCGGCCATCCCTAGGAACATTTTCTGGGGGCGCCGCAGTCGGTCAATACGGTCAAAAAAATACAAAGTCGGTCAGCCTGAGTTCCCTTTAGCGTAGTTTTTTCAACCCCTAGGGCTCCGCGGTCAATCCCTCACTGTAATTCCAACCATGCCTATAGTAATACTATGATGATGTTATATGTTCTACAGTGTGTTTATATATATATACTGTGTATATATATATATATATATATAGTATAGCAATACTAATTAATTATTACTACTGAGCTTGGTATATTTTAATGCACTTAAGAACTACAAATTTAGTTTCGTCATGCAGCCTTGTGCTGTATAATGACAAATAAACAACCTTGTACCTTGTACCTTGAAATATTATAGGAATACTCTAAATAAATAAAAAATAATCTAATAAAATAGCACAACAGAAACAATCCTATAAATTATATAGAACACTACAAACTTATAATAGGACACTATACCATTCTTATAGCATGGAAACAGTTAATTTTAAGGGTGGGGTCATTTATGTTAGAATATTATAACAAATTGCAAATGAGAGGTCTCACATTAGATCTCAAAACTGGCCCCCAGGCGACCGGTGTATGCAAATAAATAAAAACATAGCTCACTAATGCACAGTTTACATACAGGATCTTCTTTTGACTTAACTTTTCTTCTGGTGTTTTTTTAGTCTATATGCTATACTGTTCAGAAACCTTAAACTGGTGTAGAAAAATGCTGTAAAGTAAATGCTTACCTGGAACCTCCACCATGATTCATTGTTGCCTGCAGACACTCATTACTGTACCGCTCCCTTCTTCGAACAAACTGCCTACAGCAAAATATTTATAATTTTGACTCATCAGTCTGGAGTACCAGCTGTCATTTTTCTGCACCCCAGTTTCAGTGGTTCTATGCATAGTTGAGTTGCATGGCCCTGTTTCCATGTTGTGAGGTATAACTTTTTCGCTGCATGTCTTTCATTTCTGACCAGACTTCTCCGGACAGTAGATGGGTGTACCAGGGTCCCACTGTTTTCTGCAGCTCTTAACTGATGGCACTGCTGGACACCTTCTGATTAGCGAAGTTAGCATAATGTGTCTTTCATCTGCTCCAGTAAGTTTCTTTGCCAGACCACTGCGGTCCTCCGTGTCGCCTGCTTCTTTGTGCTTCTTTAAAAGAGCATGTGGAAACCCCTGTCTGTCTTGAAATGTCTACGTGGGAGAGACTTTTCTGTTCTAGAACAACTACCTTGTGTCTTGTTGCTGTGTTCAGTCTTGCCATGATATATGACTTTTGACAGTAAACTATCTTCCGCAATCTCACCTTGTTGGCTGAGTTTGGCTGTTCCTCACCCAGTTGTGTTCCTCCTACACAACTGTTTCTTTTTCAGTTAATGATTGTTTTTCAACCTATATATTGAATTTATGATCATTAGCACCCATTTGGTATAATTATTTAATCATATACCTGCCAATATGCCTACAAAATCCCTTAATATGTGAAGGTGTACCTAGAAGAATTCATGCTGTTTTGATATTGATTAGATTTAGATTTTTCTTCTGTCCACTCACTTTTTATTTTGTTAATTGATAAATATAATCTATTAACATGTCTGTTTTTGAAAGCATTCTTACTTTACAACATTATTCCATTTCCATTTTCCACAGATGAAATTTTCATAAAGGCCTTAAGTAATTTAAGATTGGAATATAATAAATCAGAAGTGGAGTGTCTCATTGCTTATTATACATATACATAGAGAGAAAAAGAGTTTGCTCCCATCCCACAGGAAACTAAATATTTTCAATTAAGTATTAAAAGGGAAAATTGATTGATTGAATGGATTTCTGTAAAACACCTAGTACACTACTAGGTGTTTTACAGAAATCCATTCAAGACGAAGAAGTAAAGACAACAGGATCACCCAGTGAAAAATGAGTCAAGAAACATCTATGTTATTTATTAGAATGTATTTAGATTTACATTGTCATTAGGTTAGAATTACATGTATTATACAGTAGTACAAGTACAAGTACAATATTTTATGTACAGAAAAAAAGGTCAGTGGTGCATATTCTCCTTCAATCAAGCTCTGCTCCTGATGTGAATGTATTAGGTCATTATCATCATTTTGTTAGTATGACCCATTGACAAATATATATTTTTTTATACTAAACAGAGAACTTCAATAAAATACAATATGTGTAAGAGTAATGTAATATGAGTCAGCTTTAATGTGGTGTTGGAGGATCAGTGTAATCATCTGAAATGATCTTCATGATGAGCTTGAGATGATTTTCTTCAGCTTCATAATCTCTTCAGTGGTGAGGTGCAACAGAGAAGCGGAGCTGGAATCCACCATCAGCACACCCGAGGGAGCCATCTCTGACTTCTCCTTCCCACCTGGGATGGTGTCTTCATTATAGGATTTAGAGACTGCAAAGTCTTGCTGAACTCTGATGGGACTAGATGGATAGATGGGGAGAGCCTGGGTCTCTTTGTCATAGGTATCCCAGCAGTTTGGGGATTTGGTGCTGTATGACTTATGAAAATCCTGCTGATCAAACAGATAGACATCCCGGCTAGCTGCATTTTTTATAATGCCACTTGAAGGCAGGGCCTTGTAGCTGGTGAATGGGATTTGGCTTGTAATGTGGTTATTAAGGGTGGTCTGGGTTGTTAGTGTGGGGCTTGGCAAATTCCTCTTCCTTAGCCTTAGATCCTCAGCAGCTGAGCTCTGGTGTTGGGAATTCATGTGAAATGTCAGGTTGGTGGGAAGGATGTCTGCGTCAGAATAATTCCTTTGTCCAGAGTTTTCTTCAAGGGCAGGAAGAGTTGGTAGCTGATTAGCTTGTGCATCATGCTTCGTGGCTGAGGGCCCATATAGCCTGAGCCAGCTGTGAAACACAGACAGCGGTATCTCAATTTCCATCTTGCCTCCATTCTCCCGAGGGAGGCTGGGCAGTACATGACTCAGAGTTAACCCCCTTACTTCGGGACTCCCCTTTCTGTCTTCTTTTGGCCGGATTGCAAAGTCTGCTTTTGGAGAGCTGGGTTTTTGTGTCATAGTGGTGGTGCCTTCCTCTGTTCTCAGTGTCAGAGCAGAGTCATATGTGGGGCTGCTTGAGGCTGTTATAGCGTTGACATCAACGACATATGCTTCCCTAGCTTTGCCCGGAAATGAATATTGTGTGTCTCCTAAACCTGCCTCATCATCTTGTGTCTCACATCCTTCATTTCTCACCACCTGTGGACCATGAGGAGTGTAGAGAGGGGATGCTTTATTCAAAAACTTTGGGTTCTTGCTCAGTGAAGGTGGGGTGAATGATGAGGCAGGGTTGCTGTTGGTTTCCTGTCTTGATGCTTTAACACTAAGGTTCAGTGGCTCAGTCAATCCAGATGTGGTTTTGTACTGCTCTGCCAGGTAGCGCAACTGCTCCAGTGGCTCCTTTACCCTGTCTGATGGGTTTAGGCGATATGGTTGGAAAGAAAACGGGGACTGGGGCGCAGGGGGGCTATGTGGTGTCAAAACTGGGCAGGATATAGGGACAGGGGGGGGCAGAATTGCAAGGCTTGGGTGATAATAGTGAGGGTAGTGGAGATGCAGAGGGAAGACCCGCCCTTGTGGATCTGGCTGGAGGTTCTGAGGGTTCTGTTGGAAAGATAAGTGGTGCGTCAGAGGTTGAAGGAATAGTTTCACATTTTAAGGAATATTCTCATCTGCTTTGTTGCAAGAGTTAGAGAAGAACAGTGATACCACTATCATGGCTGTATGTTGAATATGAAGCTACAACCAGTACCAGCTTAGTTTAGCTTAGCATAAAGACTTTCAACGGGAAAACAGCTACTATAGCCTGGAGTATTTCTTGGCTGGGAGTGGTTGCCAGGCAACCAATGGAGACTCCAGGAAGTTAAATTGTCATTTTTACAATTGTCATTTTTTGTACAGTTTTAACAAACGATCAATAGTGAGAGGTGTGAGTGGGAGGATTTTGTGTTGCATCAGAACCAGATTGTTCACAAGAATACGCTGCTTAGAAAAATAAATGTTATTTAATGTTGATAATGCATCATACAGTATCATACCATTTAATGAAGAATATTTATTTAATCACTCTCTGCTTTGCAGACACAAGCAGTGCAAAACATTTGAGCAATTTGCTATGCCTTTCTTATCTCGTTGTCTGTTTGAATATAAAATAACACCAACCTGGTGGAGAGGTATTGATAACAGTTTGCGTTTTGCGGGTCTCTGGCCATCATCCTTGTCTTTGCTGTAGTTGGCATAGGGGAAGTTCTTTGACTCATGATGAGGCAAGATATTCATCATTACACCTTTCACATGGCATTCGTATGGTAGAAGTAGCCTGCACAAATAATACATTGATAAGATAAAACCATTATGAAAACATACTGTCTACCTTCTAACTCACAAATTAACACTCCGTGTTTAACTCACTTCTCATAATGTCTGCGGGTGCAGGTTGCAGCACTTGTGCTTCGAGGGTTTCCTCCAAGCCTGTTGTACACTTGCTTCCACAGCTGCTGAGCAGTCACCTGAAAGAGTGCAGGATATTTTATTTTGTGTTTGCTTATGGGCAAATATATAGCATGAACCTATGTCACATACCACAGCAATTATAGCTAGGCCGATTTACAATGCAAGTCCTTAGATTAGCCTTTGTATGATGAAGATTGGCCATTATCAATATAATAAGGTTTGAAGTGTTTGTTTCTTCAAGATTAAGAAGAATTTTATGGTAATATTGGAGTTAGAAACAGTTTTGACAACAAAAATAAACAACAATGAATAAATTAATAATAATAATAATAATGTATTGTTATCAAAAATGTAATTTACTTAATGTAAAATACTGTTTCAATTAACAAAACAACTATATGGTAAATTGGAAATATTTGGTTACCTGGTGGTAGCCACCCAAGTCCTGGACAGTCTGGAACATCACAAATAGATCAACTGAAAAATAGGGAAAACATAGATGAAGATCAAATTCACTTCATTATTAGGATGTAGGGTTACTAAAATGTCTGATCATAATCAAATAATCTGCAGATTTTTTTCTCAATTAAGTGATTGATTGTTTGTTCTATAAAATGTCAGAAAGTAGTGATTTCCCGGTCCAGTCTTTAAATTGTGTTTTTTTGTCTGACCAGTATAAGACCCAGAGATGTCATTTCCTGTGTCCAATATTGCCGCTAGAGAACACTCACTAATTATACGTTATATTCCAGTATATCAGATGTGGACCACACCGTAGAAATTTCATGTAAATCAAATGAAGATTGTCACAGAAAGGTTGTTTACGGTTGCCAGTAGCTGTTGCAGTGAGACATCTGAGAAGATTTGTAAGTTTTCAAGCACCTTTAGCCCCTCAAAAATATGATTTATGTGGGGGGACGTAAGATTAATAATAATTCCTTGAAATACAACAGGGCCTTTGCAGCGGTTGCTGAAATAATAGAGGGGCTTTTTTGGTGCATAAAAGAAGTAAAATGCATTAAAAACAGTAGCTTGCTCACACAGAAACTGCGTCACAAAATTGGATAAAATGAATAATAAGTACTTTGTTTGAAGCCCAGATTTGGTATTCGCTCTATAGGTGTATCTCTCTTCTTCATGAAAAGGTAGAGCTCTTTAAGGAATTGTTTCTCTGTGATCTTATCCACCGGCTCTGTGGTTCTCTCCTCTTGGTTCTCTCTGTGTGCCATATCCATGTTTGCCTAAAAACACAATTAACAGAAAACATGAAGTTTGAAGTGATCATCAAGACCACACTTTAAAATCTGAAATATGACGTAAAGCGCTACTTGACCAAACACAGCACTAAACCTGAGATGCTCTGGTGACAATGCCTCACTGTTCATCTTGACTGATGATTGTCAAACACATCCAGGTTTTTGACCATACATCAAAGTTTCAAGTTTGTACTTGTGACCTCAGTGGAGTCAGTCCTGTCCCTTGAAACAACGCACCATTGATGTGAGACTAGAAAATGGCTTTGATCGTTATGTAATACTGTTATGAATTAAGTTAACATGTCAGGATACATATGCTCAGCCTTAGAGTATCTTCATTAGAAAATTATTTCAGTTTTAGTTTAGAACTCGTGTTACTTCCTCACGTTACTCATGTAACCTGCGCTTAGTTGTCATGTGTTTTATCGTTTACTATTTCTCATTTCTATCGCATTATTAATGCTTTTTAAACACATGAATATAATGATGTGAATATGATAATACAGGAAATACTGGCACCAAATTTTCAATTCTAGTACATGAAAGTGTCAGTTTAATAAAATTCTAAAACTCTTTTCTGGATACTATGTGAAATAGATTTCCTTACCTGTGTTTCCATTAGGAGAATAAGAATGGATAATATTATGTCATTGCCCTGATGATCAGAGAACAAGCAGCAGTGTACAGGTTAGTGTTCCCTCCAGTGTAGTAGAAGAGAGTAAGAAACACTAGTTGTGATGTCGCGTCACGTCAGTCACACACCTGTCCCTAGTATCTGTGTGACAATTTGGGCAACTGACAAAGGGGGTGTTTATTCCAACGTCTTCCTGCTGAGATTTCTATCGTCAGACCAGTTGAACCTGCTCTTGAGCTTGTTCACAAAAACGGTTTACTTGCATACTCTGACAAGTAATCCAGTAGAAATTTGCCTTAACAGGGAGTGTTATTTGAATATTTATGGTTTTAGTTATTTTATTTTATTTGTATATTTAGGCAACCCAAAATCACTGTTACAACAATGAAACATTTTATCCAGCTAGAGTTTGGATACCATTCATTAAACCGAAAACAAAATGTAACTTCTTTTAACAGACATAAGTTTTTTTAGTCTTTTTTAACAGAGGTATGACCAAATGATAATTTGAAAAAAGGTTTTGTCCTAGTTTTATTTACCTGGAATGTAATTTATTTCATTAGTCAATCACATACTTTGTTAGACCTTGTAGATCAAGTCCAGCTTACTGAACTCAGTGAGATTGCTCAATCACACCTCTCGGAGGATTAGTCAACCTTTTCCTTGGAGAAATAGAGAATGAATACCATAATCAGGAATTATATTTCTTGTTGAATGATGATTGTACTCTGCTAATGGCACTCTTGCACTATTGTCTCAATCTGTTTTGTTTTTGTTTATAGTGTGTTTATACGTGTTCTCTATACTGTAGCCTGTGCTTGATTTTATTACTGTATTATTGTATAAGAAAGCACATCGTGAGCAATGTACAATCCAGAGTCATATTCCTCGTATACCTATATATAATAAAGCTGATTCTGATTCTGATGATTGCGTTTCCTCTTCCCAGAATTAATTATTGCATACAGTAGTGGATTTTCATTGGACTTTGACATCTGTCTGCTAGTCCTTGTGTGTTCAGGTCAGTGGATTTCTTTGGGTGTGGCACTGCCCTTATCAAAACATTGAACATCTTGTCAGCATGTGTTCATTGTATTTAGCAATAGTATGAATGAAACCTGGCATGGATGTTGGAAGACAAATGAACGGGTGAAAGTTGTGTTATTCCTTCTCGGCAATGGATGACTGGAATTCCATTATGAAATCATTCCGCAGTAATGAGGTGTGCTCTTGGTTCTGTCTCATCTGATTACAGCTAATCACACATGACATACATGCTGTAACCACATAGCAATGTGTTATTGTCTCTATATTTGGACCCAGGGCGGCCCTGACAGTGTTGGAGCCCTAGGTGAGATTTGAAACCCCCCTTCATGTCCAATCCTAAAAAGTCCAGCACAGTGGTTGGGGTCATCACTTCTCAATCCTCAGGAATTGTTTAAAATAAATCAGCAGCCAAACTCACAATTCAAGTCACCTCCACATCATAGCCTAAATTGGGAGACCAAACCCTATCTGGGAATGTTTCCCCACACAGTGTGTCAATCCAGATATTATTTTCTTTCATTGTAGTCAGGCTTTCAGGCATTCTGCAGCTATTGCTTTTAAATAAGTTTTCTCCTTTAGATCCACTTTTCTAATTTAATAAAATCCCTGCTGAGTCCGTACACATGCTTAGCCTTCCCTTCTATTTTGAGTCAACGTTTGGGGAAATAACCTCTTTTTATAGGCCTACGTGGGAACTTTTCACCTCAATAATAAATTAATTAATTTTAATTCAGTTGTAAACTCCAGGACTTTAATCACTCCTGTGTTTCAGAAGGTTTTCTGCTCATATTCAAAACTTTCTGCACATTCAGAATCTTTCCCATAGTGGTTTCTGACATGTCCAGAAAGAAATTGCAATATTACGAGACTAACTTCATCATTTAATGAGAATTCATAATATTTTTAAGTCTACCTGGCCTCTACTCTGCTGTGCATTACATTATTTGTCCGGTGGTATATAGACTATCCTCTTTAGACCTTTTTAGACCAACACAGTTTGGGACTGCATGTGAAACTGAAACCAACCAAAAACCCTACTGCTAAGGCAGGAATCTCACCACAAATTCACATGTTAACTTCAGCAGCTCAGATAAAGTGCAGCTCACAGTCCAAAACAGAGCAAGGCTGTGCTTAAGTTTTAAGATGTTTAAATTGCAAAACTTTAACACTTCAACACAATCGCTGGTGTTGCATCAGCTGGGCGGAGTTGAAGTAGACAATAATAAAATAAATCAGACAAAGGCTACAGTGTAGACACAAATATACACACTATGAACAAAAAACAAAATAGACAGATTGACAATTGCAAAGGATGCAGGAGTAAAATATTATCATTATTATGTACATGTCGGAGGTGGATGTGATATACAGGTACACATACACATACACATTCGTGCATACATGTACACATGTACACAGTGAGATGGAACACAGTATGAACAGCCAGTCATATAGAGATTGATGAATAAATAATAAGTGATAACCAGTAAACAGGTGGCTGATTAGAGACAGAGTTACTGGATTATTGCACAGGAATTGTTCCTGACAATGTGAGTCAGAAATCAGCTGTTCATCAGAGTGATGGCTTGTGGGAAGAAACTGTTCTTGTGTCTGTCAGTTTTGGCGTACAGTGCTCTGCACGCCTACCAGAGGGGAGGAGCTGGAACACGTTGTGTTCGGGGCGAGATGGATCTGCAGGGATGTTTCCTGCCCGTTTCTTGACTCCAGAAATGTATAAGTCCTCAATGGAGGGCAGATTGACACCGATGATCTATTCTGCAGTCCTGACTGTCCGTTGTAGTCTGCGCCTGTCCTTTTTGGTGGCAGATCCAAACCAGACAGTGATGGATGTGCAGAGGACAGACTGGATGATGGCTGTGTAAAAGTGGATCAGCAGCTCCTTAGGCAGGTTGAGCTTTCTGAGCTGGGGCAGGAAGTACATCCTCTGCTGGGCCTTCTTGATAATGGTGGTCCGTGTTGGGCTCCCACTTCAGGTCGTGGGATATGGTGGAACCCAGAAACCTGAAGGTTTCCACAACAGACACAGGGCTGTTGAGTATGGTGATGGGGGGCAGAGTGGGGGGGGGCTCCTCCTGAAGTCCACAATCATCTCCACAGTTTTAAGTGTGTTAAGCTCAAGGTTGTTCTAATAGTCCGGGTGCTGGATGTGATGTTCCCCAGCCTCACCTGACTCCTGTCAGTCAGGAAGTTTGTGATCCACTGACAGGTGGAGGCTGGCACAGTGAGCTTGGTGAGTTTGGTGTTGAGGATTTTGGTGTTGAATGCCAAGCTGAAGTCCACGAACAGGATCCTTGCAAATGTCCCTGGAGAGTTGAGGTGTTGCAGGATGTAATGCAGTCCCAAACTGACTGCATCATCTACTGATCACTGTATATGTACTGACTCAAATTATTTCCAGTAGCATAACTTTCACATTACTGCCAATCCTACACATCATTCACTAGATTGTGCAGGTTTTAGCCCCACACACAAGTAATTCCCAAACATTTGTCATACACACTCCTGTCAGATTTCCTTAATCGTCAAGCAAGAGGTATTTACTAATTAAACTGTTCGGATTCAGTTTGCTTCTGTATACTAATACAGCTGCATGATAAAAATGCACCCATTCACTGTCAAACAACCTTGTCAAGAGTAATTAGAAACTAGTGAAAATCTTCTAGAGCAAGGACACCGGTGCCTGGCCATGAAAAGGTACCCGTGCAAATATTAATAACTTATTAATATTTTAAGACTGAAGACTTTTTACTACTGCCTTTAATTAAATCATATTTAAGGCTGTAGATTAATAACTTACACTGCAAAGTAGCTCTTACTGTCTGACTGACTGTAAAAATTGTATTTCAATTTCAGTTTCCCTGTGTTGCTTTTGTTTTTGCTGTAAAACACTTTGAATTGCCTTTTTGTTGAAATGTGCTATACACATAAACTTGCCTTGCCTTAAATATTCTGTCACCAAAGAAGTAACTTTTTTCAAGGCACTTCCTCTCTGTGTTGCATGTTTATTGAGATGTGAGTGGTGCAGTTGCTCTGTTATTGTGCCTGTAATTTGTCAGTATCACTAGTTTTCCAAAGTTGCTATTGTGTCATATCAAACAGTCTTATCAGAGTGGGATTATTATTTCAACTTTAAAAACTGTGATTTTAATTGTTAGTGTACACACTTTGAATCATCAGAAGTGTTTGTTAGTAGATTCTGCACCTAACCTTGTTTATTCATGTCTTTACTACAAATTCCATAGCCCCGCCAACAATAGGTAAACCCCCAACTATCTGCAGCAAGGAAGGAATCTCTGGTTGCTGTCTATGTGTATTCCAGCTCATGGTTTTGCTTCCAGACAATGATTTCTGGAATAAAACCACACCCAGCACACTAGATCTAATCTCTATAAACAGATATACAGTGCATTTAGTCATCCAACATTGCACAAGCTCATACAACATGCCAATCTATCTCTAGTGATGGCAAAGTACAAAATATTTTACATTTTATTTGAGGATATGAAAGCAGTACATTTTTCTCAGCAGAACTTCCAGTTGCTCTATTTCTACTAGATGTTTAAGTAGGACATTTTACTAAGGGGTGAACTTGATAAAGGGTTGTTGCTGTGTGTTTGTGTTTTTGTTTTTTTTCTGCCCTCTAGTCAAAAATAATTGAAAATGAATTCATTAAAAACTAGTTTAATTAATTAAATTTGATTCATTTAAAATGAGGCTAATTTTGCTTCTACAGTTTTATTTGGTGTGGTATGACTAGTAGCTAACGGATAATGTTAGCTAACACACAGTAGGTTATTCAGAAAATTCTGCGAAGCTACATATCTGTTGCTGGTTGCCCTCAAAAGGCCTGAACTAAAAATCATCAAATTCATGCATTGTTTCTCTCTGAGTAAAAGAGCTGAGGCCAGTATTGCAAGAAAAGATTCACTCCCTAGAAAACATTTTCTGTGCTGATTAAATGCCAAAGTAAAGGGATGGTACTTTTATGCACACATTTACTAATGATAAAGTACAAAGAAAATAATTTCCTTAATACCACAGCTTGACAAAATCCCTTTAACCATCACATCCTTGAATTGGCTTCTTCAG